TTAATACATTTTGGTATTAAAATAAGCAAAATTGGATTAAAATAATAAGCGTTGCAGCTTATTTTAATGCCTTTTAATTTTCTGTGGACATGAATTGTTTTGAATAATTTGAATTTTATAATAAAATACAATTCCAATGAGCCCAAAAACGTTGGAAAATATATTTACATTTATTTTTGTCAGAGAAATAAAAAAAATAGTAAAAACATTGAAAATTGGATATTAAACATATTCTTTTTGTCAAGGTGTCATTTCTTTCAAAATTTTATTAGCTTTTAGAAAATAAAAAGGAAAACATTTTAGTTTTAATATTTATTGAAGATTTCAACCGATTTATAATCATCGAAAAAGCAGAGGTCGCACAATTTCCGAATATATATAGAGTAATCACATACAGCCCATCTCCATATATAAATCGAATTAATGAAAGTTATAATTATTAAATTTTTAATGCAGTCAAATAATTGTTGAGAAATAGTAGACCATGATCTATAAATTTGTATTTTCTGCTTTCAAAAGTGCTCTTATTTCAGTGCCATCAAAATCGCAGTTATTCTGGTGACATAATTTCACATCAGTGAAGTTTACAACTTTTATGATCAACGATTGAAAAAAATAAATAAATTTTTCACTTGGAAAATAATAAATATTTTTTCGACTACTTTTTCTTTTAAAAATTGTTGATCGAGAAACGAAATATGATAATTTGCACGCAAAGTTATTTTTTCCTCTAAATCGTGAACATCCACAGACACATATATATTTTCCACAATGATGAATGAATAATAATAATAATAATAATGAAACTTATTGTTGGTATTCAAAGCTACCCTTTACCAATTATATTAATTTAAAGTGGAGAGTTTAATTAATTCGACTTTTTTTGTATAAATTCAAGTAAATCAAAAAACCCTGGTCTTCCCTAAACAAAAAATATTTAATTCTAACATTAGTTTGTGAAAAATGAGAAAACTATTACTAATATTTACTAATTTTTATTTAGAACTAATTTTTTACGCTTTTGGAACAAACCCTCAGAATCGGATTTTTTTACCAGTTAATCAAACTTTTCTAAAAAAAAAAAAAAAAATATTAATGAACTCGAAAACAAATTTTCGACCTAGTTATTTGACGTAATAAGCTACGAAGCTATATATACCTATGTCCAGAGCTTAAGGACTTTATTAGCCTTTTTAGACGGCCATCAACAGGCAAAAGTTAAGATCGACGCTCACCATAGATCAGAAATCTTTGCGACGGACGATGCGGAAACGATATAGAATAGACTGAAAGGGGTATGAGGGGTTGCAAACAAGTATATAGTTATATACAAAGAATATACTATCCTTGGACTGGGTTCCAGCTGCCAGGTTTATTTCGAGCCTCAAACGACTTCACATTGCAGAAACTGCACTCGACTAGCAGAGAACATACACCTTCTTATATCCAAGTTTCTCTGTATAGCTCAATCTCTCTCTCTCTCTCTAGTCCCAATGCCACACTCACATAGTCCCAGACTCGGCTGGATAAATAAAAAGCCTTTACTGAAATTACTCTCTTTTTCTTTTATATACGCGACATTCACCTTGCATGAGACGAGAGTTCAATCAAAAAGTTCACTGCACAACAACAACTACTACTACTACTAGTACTACAACACACTTTTAAGTGGAATCGTTTTCTATAAAAAGTATATTTTTAGAAAGTCGTAACTTTTCAACAAGTACAATGGGAAAACTTTTGTTTTGACAGTTTTTTTATTGATTTTTTTTGCGATAAGTGAAGAAAAACTACTTGGACTACAATTGGTCAAATTAAGATTCTAAACAATATGAAAGGATTTTCTGATACTATACTTCAGCATATAAATTTCACAGAAGTGTAATTAGAAGTGTAAATAATTATTTATTTATTTAATTACAATGTACGGGCTTACAAATAAAAAGTTAAAACTGACCTTTAGTGCAAAAGCACTTAATATTATAAGAAGATATAATGAATGTAATCACAGAATGACGAAATCATGTAGGTGACTTATAGACTAATACAAAATTAATTTTCGTAGGTCGTTTGTGAATTTGCTTAAAGATATACCAAAGAAGTCTAACGCGTGACAGTACTCGTTACCTCTAGTACAAATTCTGTTAATAACACTGTTGTCTAAATAGTTAGATTTATTGAATTTAACTATGAACAGTTTTTGATTTCTTAAACCTTTTGAAGGAACAATAAAATTTATGCTTGACAATATCGATGGACAATCGATTAATCCGTTAATAATTTTGAACAATAATAGTAGGTCCAAAAAAATAATTCTGTAGCAGAATTTTGGAACCATTAGTATTTTTCTTAAATCTGTATAATCATGACTGAGTATATGTTGTAATATACACCAACTTGTCTTGCTGCAAAACGGAGAAATTTATTTTGTACACACTCTAGTTTTAACAATTGGTACTCTTGGTATGGGACCCATATTGCTATTGCAAATTCTAATTTTGATCTGGCTAAAGGAAAAAATAATTACTTTAAGACCACTATGTTCTTAAAATGAAACGCCTTTCTTTGGATTGAGCCAAACACTTTAAGTGCCGCGTTAACAGTATTAGCAATATGAGTATCAAACCTTAGATTAGATGAAAAAGTGACCCCCAAGTCACTCAGGTTGGAAACCCTACTCAGCTGTTCACTGCCTACAGCATAGTTATACAAAATTGGATTTTCATGTCTAAAGAAAAATATTACACTACATTTTTTAACATTAAGAGTAAGCCTTATATCGGCAGACCATCTCACGAGATTGTTAAGATCATTATAAATTAAAAATAAAAGTAATTAAAATATTTTTGAATCCAATTAACTAAATTTTAAATAATTATAGTAATGCACTTTTAAACATTAAATAATAAAAAATAAATTACTTATTGATAGTTTAAAAAATTTCTATGTTTCTTCAAAGATTCAAATAAATTGAAAACAAAAGTTCGATAATTAATTAAAAATCCATTAATTAAAAAAAACAGATCAATCACTGTTTTAATTTAAAAGTTAAAAAGTAAAAAAAAAGTTCAAATTTAACACTGACAAGGAGTAATAAAATTGTGAATAAAAGAGAGAAAAAATGAATAATGAAATCAAGACTCATTTGTTAATTTTAATAATTATTTGAAAAAAAAAGCAATCATTTATTACTGTCAAAGAAGTCGAGAAAATAAGAATAAAAAGTTGGATAATTTTTCTGCTTTATTCATATACACGTTTTTATTAATTGAAAATTTAATCTTTTCTCAAAATTTTGATAAGAAATGTAAAATATTATTATGAAAAGTATTTTTTTTTTTAATAGAATAATCAAAATAAACAAATTTTTTCATTTCAAAATGAAACAAAAAAATATTGTGAATTTTATAAGATTATGCCGTAAAAAATTATCTATCAAGTACATATAGTAATCTTTTGTCAATAATCAAACAATTAATTTTATCCTCACAATATATATATATATATATATATATATATATACAATGTCAAAATAAAAATTGTTTACAACCTTTCAAAATAATCTAAAAATATTATTTTATTCTTTTTATTTCTTTTATTCCAATTTTTTTATGATCGAAATTTTGTAATCCTGATAAAATATTTCTTTTCTACGTAAACAAAATGTTGATTCAACTATTTCCGAAATTTCCACAAAATTCTTATTAATTTTTCATTATTTCTAAAAAAAAAAATCTACAGAGAATATAAAATGCAAAATTATAAAAATTTAAAGTTATTGTATAAAAAATGAATTACATTTCTTTTTTAATTTCAATTCTGATTTTATTTTTAGTTGTTTCATTCCCTTTAAAAGTTTATAACTGCGTTACAATTTTGACTTTAGTAATAGAGTATAACGTGAAAGTAGAATTTTCATGTCATCATTTGTGACTCGAAATCTGGCAAATTTGTCACACAAGTAAAAAAAAAAAGTGCTTGGAAAAGCGAAAAAGAGTGAAGCTAGTTTCAAAGATGCATGAATGTCTTTTAGGAAAGATTGATATGACCTGATTTGGCGAGACTTACAAGGAAAAGAGTGTTGATAAAAAATTACTCTATTTCCTGAACACGACAAAGAAACGGCCACAAAAGAGACTTGCGTTTCGCGTTCCTATACACAATGGTCATTTATATAAGTGTACATAATATATATAAATATATCTTAAGCTATACGATACATAGAAAATTAAAAAAAATAAAACGCATCAACATTTAACAGATACTACAGTTAAAAAATAAATTCAAAAAGATAAAATAGAAAATTATTGAAATATTTTTTCTGGTTTTTTTTTACATTTATAAATAAGAGGAAGAGAGAAAAAAAATTAGCTCTGCGGAAAACCACCCTCGAAACGGAAATCACAAACATTTATAATTACTACCCAAAAGATGAAAGACAAACAAATGATCAATATTTGTCTGTCCATCAAACTTTATTTCAATGAAAAGTTACTTCATTTCCGCGGAGTCTGTAAAGTTTTGATCACTATATTTATTCATCGTTTCAAAGCAATGTGCCACTTGTACGAATACGATATCTGAATGTATGTAAAATTTAAATATATTTTTATATTTTCCCCAATGTATTGTATATATAATTTTCCTTTAAAAAAAATGAAATAAGACAAAAAAATTATAAATTTTAGTCTGTTCTCAAATTTTTCAAAATTAAAAAATAATAATTAATCAGTAAGAAGTACCTATAGACTAAAAATTTAAAATAAAAATATTTCAAAAATTTGAATAATTTTTAAGTCATTAAAAAAATAGTTATTACATTTTTTTTATTAATTTCTATTACAGTATTATCTCTTTAATTTTACAAGATAATACATTTTTAACTATCCATTATCTTTTTTTTTAAATCGTAAATATTTAATGTACATTAAATGTAGCCTCGTCATATATGTAAGTAAACTAATCTGTATAAACCTATCTATATTTTCAAGTAAAAAAAACTCATTACAATCATATTTTTACTAGTCAAAAGTATTATAATTAAACGATTTTAAATATTTTGTGCCTTACTAAAGTACGTTATTAGTACAACAACTGTTGAACGACACGTATATCTCTATATTACACTAAACAATGTGTTATTTAACAAAAATATCTTTTTATACTATTTTATTTTTAATTATGTGTTTATTTTTTATTTCAATAAACGGTCTAGATTGCATACCGAATGGATTTTATTGTTCGAAGGAATCTCAATTCGGAGAGTGTTGCCCACCTTCATCTTGCAAGAGTGAAATTAATGTTTGCGAATAATTTCATACAAGTAAGATTTTAAAAATTTAATTATACTTAAAAACTTTTTTAAAAAAAAAAATTTCCTTTAAAAAAACAAAGCTAGAAATTTTTTAATTTTAATGTTTAAAGTTTTAACTAAAAAGTGACTTTTACTTTTATTTATTATTTACATTGTTCTTATTATTATATTATTATTTATTAATTAATATTACATTAATAATAATAATTATTATTTTACTTTAATACTTTTATTTTTTTAAACTAAAAAAATTAATTTCAAACTTATTAAACTCAAAAAAAATAATTAATCGCTATTATAAAAATTATAAAAAAATTTCCAAAAAATAGAAAAGATATTTCTTAAAATATTTGTTGACAAATTTTTTGGCTTTATGATTTAATAAATTAAATTTTTAACTTTATTCATCATTATCTTAAAAATGTTTTTTTCCGATTTACACTTTCTACATATTACTAAAAAAATTAAAATTATTTATTTAATGTTTAATTTCCTAAATTTTAATTAGTGAGAATTTATTGAGAAAAATTGATTGAAAATTTCTTAAAAATTTCAATTATTTTTCTCACTTTCAAATTATACATACGATAATTTTTAAAAACAGTTTGTACTAAAAATTTAAATATTGTTTTAATTTTTAATAAATTTTTAAACACGTACATTAATAATTTTTAAAAAATTATTATTTTTCAAACAAAATTTTAGTTAAATTTAATTATTTTTTCTTCTTCATTTTATTTTCTTTTTCTAGGAAATAATTATTTTTTTAAAAAAATTATTTATTTTTCTTTCAGTGTCAATGAAGAATGGAATCATTTTATGAGATTATAATGACAGCAATATCAAGATATTAAAATATTTTATATCTTTTTAATAAGTTTAATTAAACTGTGTCTATTTTTAAAAAAATTATATTTGACTAAATAATAATAAATGTAGGACATTAAATTATTTTCATTACTTTTAGTTTTAAATAACAAAAGTATTTTTTAAAAAATATTTTATTTGATATCATGTTTTAAATGAAAACTTTTAATTTAATTTAAATAATTGCATGATAAAATAAATATTTAATTAATATTTATTTTAAATAACCGATTATTTGAATCGAATAATATTTCTTTTAATGTGTGATTTATTAAATTAAGGAGTAAAATATTTAACATCAGAATAAAATATTAATTCTGAATGTTATTTGAAAGAGATTAACCCTTGTCATATTATTTTGCTTTTGATGCATTGTGGGATATTTAGAGCCACCATATAGCCCTGCTATAGTGCTAAGATATTTTAAGAGTCGCGCTTTGAAATATTGTTGTAGTGCATTCACTTTTGGTCTGGGGCTACCAACTAATGGACTATTATCGAATGCGTTACACAACGATACAAGTAAAAATTATTATCTAACGAATAATTCTCAAAATTTCGAATATATAGAATTATTTAAATCTTATAATCAAAAGGAGTGCAATAAAAACTTACCTCATCATCCGAAGCAGGTTCTTCGTAATCCGAAATGGTATCCTTGAAGACGAAAATGCAATCCGATGGATCCAATTGACGAGAGTTGCCAAACTGCGTTTGTCCGTCGGTGGAGTTTGTTAAAATCTTCGTTTCAACCATTTTTCTTCTTTGTTGACGCACTGCAATGTGATTCTGTAATTACAAAATTTAAAAATATCAAATTGTTGTATTTAACAAAGATTTTTATGTCTTGAAAAAGTATACTTTTATTTGTAATAATCTGTTAATAGAAAGACGAACAAAATGCATATCAATAACATTATTTGAAAAAAAAATTAATTTTTTAATCGAATCAAAAGACTAAAATTTTCTTTTTTTTATTTCAATTTAATTTAATTATTCAAAAGTATATATAAATACAATTATAAAAATTTTTTCTTATTAAAATTATTATAATAAAACAAGGTGTCTAACAAGGATTGAGAAAAAAAATTCCCTGACTTTTTCTCTGATATTTTTTGACTTTTTTTAATTCACAAAAAATTTTAATTTTTGTATAAATTTATAGAAATTTTCCTGACTTTTGAATGAACAATACTTTCTTAATAAGATTTAAAATTAAAGTATATGAATATTATACTAAATTATGAAACTCTAAACGTAAAAGTTAATTACAGTCTTTTTTATAACTGACTTAAGAGAATCATGTGTATTCAATTAAATCGTATTCCGATACAACTTAATAAACCAATATCAAGTGCTGGATGACGATACTTTATAGGTACGATGCCCTCGATGTCATCAAAGGTACTTGATATCAAAGTGAAGGACGTAAGTAAATGCCAACATGCAATTCCATAACGGAAATTAACTTGAGATAAGTAATTACAGAATACAGACATGACTTTGAGATTGATTTGAATGTTCGAAAATTTGATTAAACATTAAACATACATGGTATATAAGCGAGAATTTCATCACCTCTATAGTGTAATATCCTTTCTATCATCGGTTTTTAACTTTAAAACACTTTTAATTTAAATATTTTTTTCAAATTTTAACAATTTAATTATAATTTTTTTCAAATATATATAATTTAAAATTTTTTCTATATTTAAACATATAGAAATAATTTTTCTCTCATTTCATGAAAATTTTGCTTTTTAACACAATTCTCCCAACTCGTTAAATATTTTACGAATTTACGTAAGCATTTACTGAAATTTCGTAACTAAATTTTCCTCAATGTATATATTGGCGCGAGTGGAAATTTTCTATAATTATTCATCTTCAAAGCTTCATTATTTACTAAACAATAAAACACTTTCAAATATTAAAATTACAAAACGTAATCTTATTTAAAGAATCTATTAAAAAAAAAAAAATTTTGTATTTCATTATTTCTGCCTCTAGGTCGTATGGAAATAAATATTTTTGTAATTTATTTTACGCAACACATTTTCTCTGAACTTTAAATAACAAATAAATGAAGTAATTTCAGAAAAAAAAATTGTTTTTTTTTGTAAAAAAAAAATTTTTAAAGTGAATAGATTCATATATAAGTATTTTTTTAATAGCTTATAAAAGTTTGTGGATTAGATTGAAAAGTAAAGTTTTTAAGACATATACTGATGAGAATTCTTTTTTAAAAAAGTGGAACATCCCCGTACATCGTATTATCATAAATTGACCCATTTTTGAAAACTGTTTACTAAACATTTGATAGAGAACTGGGGACGATACTTTGAAGAAGATTTATTAAACTTATAGTATATAATCGGTGCATGTCTTATAGTATTCAGAAAGTAATACATCAAACTTCTATAGGATTCTTTAAAATTGAGTTAAACTTTACACCCTAACTTTAAAATTCTGTGATAAATAAAATCACAATTTTCATTGTACATCAATTTCAATATATAAAATATTTATTTATTTTATACTAAATATAAATATACATATATATAAATATTTTTAATTAATATTTAGATTTAGAATTAAATGATTTTAAAAATGTTTATTTAAAAATAAACTATTGTAATAAGCTAAACATATGTACATACGTATACAATCGATAAAAAAAATTACTTTTGGATAGATACCAATAAAATTAAACCTTGAAATACAAGCATGTTTTTAAATTAAAGTAAAAGTTATATTAACACAGTAAAGTTTCTTGCCTATGATGAAATAGATAAAAATAGGATCTTAATTTGTTTTTAACACGCAAAATTTTAAACTTATATTTATAGAATATTTTAGTTATCTATTTTAAATTACAAAATTAAAAAGTTAATTTTATAAATATTTAAAAACATTTTTAAAAATTAACAAAGGCTTTGAAAATATATTTTTAAAGACACTCAATTTCTAGGCTTGAATAAATTATTAGAAATTTATATTTTAATGTTTAATAATGATATTAAATATTACTATAATTCTTTATCAGCAACATTTAAATGAAAATCTTTACATTTTTTAAATTAATTAAAAAAATTGCAATTCCAATGTAATCAATAATATGCATTAGAGATTTTAACAGTAAAAAATTAAAAAATCATGCAAGATTCTGTTCTTTTTTTGTGTAAAAGTATTTATCCAAATTGATAAAAGACAATAGCCAAAATATAACTATTTGTTTTGAAAAAAAAAACAATTTTTAGAGGTTATAATGTTTAGCAGACCATGCGGTTACAATATAAAGTACCCAATAAAAAGTTATGAAAACTAATTAAACACGATATTGGTCATAATTTTAAATAATTAACGAAATAAATTAAATTAACAATTCGCCGGTGAAAACAAATGAAAACGTGGATACAAAAAATTGGTATACTGTGTTTATAGGTTAAGTAAGCTGATTCTTAAGCGGTGTCATTTTATGTAATTGAAGTAACATTACCGAAAGCTTGAATATTGATGAACGAACAGGATTAAACGAAACTATAGCACTGCAAATTAGTTTTAATTCTATATTTAAAAGACAATTACTTATTTTCTTACAATTAAACATTCCTTGTTTTGGTACAGCAGTCCAAAACCTTCAAGACCAAAACGAAATTCTTATGCCATCTATCTTACAACTTGTTAACTAATATTTCACGCGCAAAATTTAAAACTTTAATGTGTTAAAATTAAAAATACATTAAAATTCATGAATAAATATAAAAAAAGTAAATATTGCTTTATAAATTATGTTTCAATTAGCAAAACAATATCACATTAATTTTTAGTATAAAAATTTCTTTAATAAGAGAAAGTATTAAATAATTTTCTTTAACAATAAAAGACTCGATTCATGTTAATTAAAACCAAGGGATCTTTTTTTTGGTTATGAATAATTATATTCTTTAAAGCATATCAATTAAAGTAATTGCTAATAATGATAAAAGTTAATTTGTAAAAAAAAACTCTAAAAAAAACAGAACTTACCAAAATTTGTTTGTTTTTTAGATTAAAGTGAAAAAAGTCATCTTGGAGAACAGAAAACTGAAAAACTTTTTTCCATGAAGTATGTTTTCTTACTTTATTATGAGGCTTCAAAATAAGTGAGCTCTGAAAAAAGAAATTAAATTATTTAAATAGACCTTGTAAAATTAACCTTAAAAATATGTCAATAATATTAATTACCGACGCAATAAAATTAACACAATATAGTAACATCCATATTATAAATTACGTTGCACTCAAGAAGACTTGGTCGCAATAATTTAATCCTTTTTCACCCCCCCCCCCCCACTAAAAGTACAACGTTCTTTACAGATGTTCCCTATGACAAAATAACAGTTGTAACTACTTACAAAATCCCGAGAAAAAATATGACAACAAAGTTTTTAATCAACGCCATCTTGAAAAATGTCAATTTAATCTTTTTTATAGTAAAACTAAACTTTCAAGAAAATTCCTATCGTAGGAAAATATAAATAAAGAAATGATACTCATATGACAAAAATATATTTTGTACGGAACGCCAAAGCATTGTTTGATTGTTATCAAAAGTAAAAAAAATACAATTTACCAAATTATTAACTATTCATTCAAAGTGATTTCATAGAATGTTGTTCTCATTGTCTAGATTAACACCTTGAATGAAAGATTTTAGTAAAAAATAATGAAAATATACCTTTTCTTAATAAAAATCTGCCATCTCTGAAAGGAAGACATCACCAACGATCAAATCTTTTAACACAAATGAACGTGTATGAACGGGCCATTAACACGACGGCTCTCTCATTGGCTGAAATCACAAAGACGAAAAAATACTAAGTTCTGATTGGTGGACGTGTTTTAACATTTACAATAAATTTCAAATATTGATTGTTCAATTTTTAAAATACATTTCATTTATAAATCAAATATGAAGTATAAAGAAAATATTTGAAATATGACAATTTTTAGTATGTACTTAAATTAAACAGATAAAAGTAATTAAATTTATTAATAGAATATTCATGAAAAAGTGTAATATTTTTTAAAATGATTTTGCGCTATCTGTCGCTCATAGGTAACATTAATTAACAGTAAAGGGCGAAATTTAAATTCCTAATTTGAAAGTATGTACAAATTAATTCCCAAGTGACAATATTTTTTAATAATAATAATAATAATAATAACAAAATACTAAAAAAAGTTTATCAATTTACATTTGGGAAGTAAAACTGAGTTAATTAATTCAATAAATATGAAAATCAAACTATTTATTTTACAAGTGAATGGGCTTACAAAAATAAAAATGCCCTTTTGTTCTATAAGTACAAAATTATAAGAGAAATATATATATTTGAAAAAAAATGACGAATATTTTAATAAAACATTTTTTTGTTGTTGAAAACTAAAATTTAAAAATTATAGATAACTAATAAAATTTATTAAAAATTTTCTAAGAAATACCTAATTAATAAACAAATTTTTAAGAAAAAAAAGAAAGAATTGCCACTAAAATTATTTTTTTTACATATTTCTAAAGGTGTTTAAAAAATAAATATTTATTTTCTTATACAAACAAATTCGCCAAAACCATTTCACAATACTCTTTTCAAGAGATATTGAATACAAAAAATCTTTATAATATACTAAATTATTTTTAACTTTCAATCCATTCTTTAGGTTTCTTTAAAACTTGTAATAATTTATCTTCTTCAGAATCAGTTTCTGGTTCGTGCATATATTGCCATTTAGCCGTTAATGGAAGAGACATCAATATACTTTCGTATCGAGCACCCGGTGTATGTAATCCAAATTTAGTACCACGATCATATATTAAATTAAATTCAACATAACGTCCTCTCCGCAATAATTGCCATTGTCGTTCAAGGAATCCATAACCTTTTTTCTTATTTTTCTTCACTAACGGTATATACGATGGAATGACTGATTCAGCACAAGATTTAACAAATTCAAAAGCTTCATTCTGATTCGGAGTATCTAAATCATCAAAGAAAATTCCACCAACGCCTCGACTCTCATTTCTGTGTGGTATGAAAAAATAATCATCACACCATTTCTTAAATTTTTTATAATAAGACGAATTATGTTTATCACAGGCTATCTTCAATGTCTTATGGAAATGCTTTGCGTCTGCTTCGTCTAAATAATATGGTGTTAGATCTGTACCACCACCGAACCACCATTGTTTCGAACCGTCTTTATTTTCAATTTCAAAATATCGATAATTAAAATGTATCGTTGGCACCATTGGATTTCGTGGATGAATCACTGCACTTATTCCAGCAGCAAAAAATGGCAATGATCCCTCGGCTAAATTTTTTCCTCGGGCACGCATTTGTTGAATGGCACCCGGTGGCAATGTTCCCGAAACAACAGAAATATTTACACCAGCTTTTTCAAAAACAGTGCCATCTTGTAAAACGCACGTTATTCCACCACCTCCCTCTTTTCTTGTCCATCGATCGACAATAAATGTTTGATTCATTTCTTCTTGTTCTTCGAGCTTATCGCAAAATTCTGCTTGTATTTTCATAATAAAGAGTTCCATTTTTGTTTTCATGTCATTTCTATTTTTTATTAAATCTTCTCGGCTAGTGATGGGTTTTGCTTTAAAACTTGATATGTCTAACATCGTCTCAGCGGCAGAAACATAATTATTTGATGTCTTATATGTTACAATACCTGCTGTTATTATTCCCGCGCCAACAACATTTATCACAGGATATTTGCTTGTTTGATTAATCACTAAGGTGTATAATCTGTTCCATCCACGAAAAATTGTTTGAGAAGACATGATTTTTAAATCTGTAAAGTAACAAATTTTAAATGTAAATTACAATTTAAATGCTAACAAATTGTTATTAAAACACATTTGCTTCACATAAAATCTAAAATTACACTGTAAAAATATTATTATTCTAAGAGTTGTGGCTACGTGATTTTGTAAAAATACAAAAAAATGAGGTTAGAAATGACAATGAATACAATATTATAAACCCAAGAAGAAATAAAATTCTTTTCAATGTAAAACAAATTTAATTTCAATTATAAATATACTTACAATAAAGTTTGTTTTTCTAAAATATATCAATAGAATTTTCTGAATGAAAAATATATCGATAATAAAAACTTCCAACAATTTGTAACTACAAGGAGAAATAGACAAGTTTACATTTGTTTATTGTTAATAAGTAAACAATTATAAAACATATTTTTCCCAACTTCCAACTCAAACATAAATGCTTTTTAAGCACTTATTCTTTTATGATAACATGTAACCAAGAAGACTTCTTTAACTTGATTAAAATCTAAGATTTTAAAGTACAGGTGAAAAAGCACGTACACATTTATGGGAAATATCGTCTGCAATCTATATAGTAAACATGGCACCTAAGTCAAAAAAGTAAAACTAATTTTATTAAATTTAAAAATTATTCAACGTTTCTAATTTAATTTATTTGTTATAAATATCTAAAAATTAAATATAAATCAATCCATATGTTTAATTTTAAACAGAATGTATTGGTTAACAATTTATTCTTGATTATATTTAAAAGAGAAATTGACTAATGTAGTACAATAAAGTCACGTGATCCATTTGAGGATAATTTATGAAATCAATTTTTTTTAATAAAGTACTATTTAAAATATTTTTTAATAAACTTTCATAAATTTTGCGAAAGCAAGAGAAATTATAAAAATTTCATATTATTGTCAAACGTAATTAATTTTAATTATAATAAAAATATTAAAAGATATATAAAATATATTTGTTATCGTCTAAAAGCGCCCTCTAGTGAATGATTTACAAAACGGGGAAAATAAAGATGGCGAAATGTCATCTGGTGAATCGTGTTCGAAAACGAGTATAGTTGAAATTAATTTAAATGTCACGCGTTAAATTAACTAAAAACGTTATAGAAACGTGTCACAAGATTGTGGAAAAATGGAGCTTTTTCGTACCGAATCACATTACATTTTCGTAAAAGAGAGACATAGTCTATGGTGTGAAAAATATACTGGAGAACTCTCAGCAAAATCTGGTTAGTTTATATAAATATTTTGTTAAAAAAAAATTTTTTTTCTATTTAATATTATAAATATCAAATCTCTAGCAATACTTTTTTTTACGTGTAAATATTTTACGTTTTTTTAAATTTTTATTTCAAAATTTATCTGAATATTTTATGAAGCAACAATGGGCGTATCTAAACTGAACATTTTATTATATGTTTATATATTTTAAAATTTGTGAATTTTTTATTTCTCATTAAAATTCTTTAAAAAATATTTCTTTCTTTCTTTATAATACTATAATAATTTTGATAAATAAAATCAGGAAGTTCAAGGAGGCGTTTTCATTTGCATACACACGAACATTTTATCTGTCAAACATTTTGTTTGACGTTTCCGTTTTACAGATCCCTGTTATATAGAACAAAAAATATATTTAAAGATCTGAAATAAATATATAGATTCGATATTTGCGTAATAAGTGTGACATAATAATCGTTTCAATTTCTATTATATTTAATGAAATTGACTTAAAACGTAATTAAAAATCTTGAAAAAAGCTCAATCGAATTCACATTTCATTAGATTCCTTTGTTTCTCGTGTTCCAATTCTCAATGACATTTTCCTTAATGAAAAGTACCTTGTTTAATTAATATTTACAGAGGTATTCTATTTCTAGGAAAATGTCTAAATTTCTTACGAAAGAAACTGAAATAATATCTGATAATGTTTATAAATAATAAATTTTAGATAATTATCTGTAATTTTTAATAAATAATAATGACCCAGTTTATTATTAGATTTTAATTGTTTTTAAGTTTGTGTTAAAAGAACATTGTTCTTAATTATTTTATTTTATGTACAAAAATTAATATTTCAATTATGTATTATGATTATTATTTTTCTTTTTTCTTAATATTATTACTCTTTTTATGTTTATATAATTATATTAATAATATTATTATTTCTTGGAAATAAAGTAGAAATATTGCATTTTTATAGATTGGGAATGGGCAAGTGCTATCGATTTAGAATGCCTTGGATTTTTCTACGGAATCTTGGGAAAAATCGAACAAGCCTCGGTTCTTGAACCCCGTTTGATGCTAATAAAAGAAGTTGCCCCCGTTGGAGAATTATACGGTGGACATGTAGTTTATAAAATAAAATCTATAGCACTTCTAAATTTACTATCCGATAATACCGATATAGGACTGCTTCCTTGTAAAAAACATCAAAATGTACCAAAAAAGAAAGGAATCGGTGGCATGTTTGATGTTTCTCAAAAAGCTGGTTTTGCCAAAACTTGGGGTACGATTAAAAGTGCCACTAATACAATTAAAAACACCACACAACAAGCTGCTGCTCTTGCCACATCTCAGGTAAATTATATTACAGGAAAAATTAAAAAATTAATATTAATTTAATTAAATAAATTTGCAACGATAAGACCTGTAAAATATGCATTATGATTTTACATTTTGAACAAGAATAGAATAAAAAATTGATAATCTTTTCTTTTAAATCAGGTAAAATCTACAGTAACAAAGCGAAGTGGAGTTAAAGACAAGGAAAAATTTGAAAAAAGAATTCTTGAAGAATTAAACAAAATATTCACTGAAACTGATTCGTTCTTCTTTTGCCAAAGCGGAGATATTACAAATTCTTTGCAAAGACTATGTTTTCAAGAATCGCAACAAAAGAAAATAGATAAAGATCAACCTTTGTGGAAAAATGTTGATGACAGATTTTTTTGGAATAAACATATGCTACTAGATATATTTAATTTAAAGGTTTTTATAAATAAATTTTCAGACATAATTTATTTACTTTTTTTTTTAACCCTTGTTGTGAATCAATTACGAATTACCTTTTCATAATTTTTTCTTTTCCAGACAGAAAAGGCAGATTGCTGGATACTGCCAATAATCCAAGGATATGTACAAATTGAACAGTGTAAAGTAGAAGTAGGATTCGACGGTCAACCACAACATGAAACTTTTAATTTAGCGATTATATCAAGAAGAAGCAGATTTCGTGCCGGAACTAGGTATAGTTTCAAATATACATATATATAATATTAGATAATTAATAAATATCATTTTTATTTCCTTAGATACAAAAGACGTGGTGTGGATGAAGATGGAAAATGTGCAAACTATGTTGAGACTGAACAATTAGTTTGGTATCATGATCATCAAGTTTCTTTTGTGCAAGTTCGTGGAAGCGTTCCAGTATATTGGTCACAACCGGGTTACAAATACAAACCCCCACCTCGAATAGATAGAGGTATTTAATTTTTTTAAAAATTAGTTAATATTTTAATTTTAAATTAGAATAAAAAATTAAAATTATTTCTTATATCAGATGAAGCAGAAACACAAGTAGCATTTGAGAAACATTTTACCGAAGAGCTCAATTGTTATGGGCCTATTTGTATTGTTAATCTAGTCGAGCAAGCAGGCAAAGAGAAAGTAATTTGGGAAGCGTACTGTAATCATGTACTTAATTACAATCATTCAGATCTCACGTACGCTACTTTTGATTTTCATGAATATTGGTGAGTATTTTCATTATTTTTCAGAACGTTTTTCAATATTTTAAAATATCATTAAATATTTTAGAATATCGTTAAATATTGATTAACTTAATTTTTAAAACAACAAAAAAAAAAATGAATATTTTTTCTCACAGTCGTGGAATGCATTTTGAGAATGTGTCGATATTGATAAGCGCATTGGCGAATGTCGTGAATGATATGGGCTATTGCTGGAGAGATAAACAAGGAATGATATGTATGCAGAAAGGAGTATTCCGTGTAAATTGTATAGATTGCTTAGACAGGACAAATGTCGTTCAAACAGCATTAGGAAAAGCTGTCATGGAAATGCAATTCTCCAAATTGGGTTTGATTCCGCCTGATGGCACACTACCCACTAACATTAGACAAACATTCCAATCACTTTGGGCTAATAATGGAGATATTATCAGCAAACAATACGCAGGAACTAATGCTTTAAAAGTAAAAAAAAAAACATTTTTCTTTTAAATAAAAAATTCAAATTTATTTATTTAACTAATTTTTAATTTTTTTAATTCTTTGTAATTTTTTTTTTTAATTTAATATTTATTTTTCGATAACATTCTTTCAGGGAGACTATACAAGAACCGGAGAAAGAAAATTTACGGGTTTAATGAAAGATGGAATGAATTCTGCAAATCGGTAAGTTTAAGAAATTTCGATAATTAGTTCTTATTTTTGTTTGAGAAGACGAGAGCTAAAGTGATATTTCTTCGAATTGATAAAAAATCTCTCTTTCTAGTCACACTACACTTTTTAAATTATTATTTTCCAAAGACTTGTGAGTTGTTTTGGAAAAAAGAAGCTCGAAGTCTTCAATTTTTCTCTTTTTTTTGTCAAATACCGTAAACTTTGACATAGAAATCCCAAACAGAGTCCCTGACACTTTCCTCTCTCATTGTCCAATTTAGATATTATCAACAACACTTTTTGGATGACATACGTCAAGCGGCGATTGACATCTTACTCGGGTATAAAATCGACACTGATCAGCTCAACATCGATTGGTCACATTATTTAGATATTCTTGATAATTGTTGTCTTGAACTTATACCCGCGAAGCCACCAAAAATAGAGATTCAACTTAATACACACGCGGATATTCTTTATGCTACTGCAATGTTAAATATGACAAGGTTCGTTTATTATATTGAAAAAAAAAAATGCAAGTTCAAGTTTTTATACTATTCACTCAATCATTCTTGGGTATTTTCACGAGAACAATTGAATTTTCTTTCGTGCATCACGATGTCTAAAACAGCTATATCTTTTTTTAATTTTGTTATAAAATCAAAAAATCTGTGGGATACGTTTCTATTTTCTTATCTTTCTCATAGGGAACAAAAATTTTATTCTATAATAATTTTAAAAAAAAGTTACAGAGAAATTTAGTCATTGTGACGGATGGACAGAATGTTCGCTTTTTCATGGAAATTACCTGTTATATAATCTTTTTAATAATCAATATCCTTATATTTTTAATTTTGCAACTATATCATCGTCGATTTAAAGATTGTTTTTTAATATTATTTTCTTCTAATTATAATAGTTCAGTTAAAAAAAAATTTTATTTTCATAGTGAAAGAAAATGATTAACGATTTTTAATGAAATTGTCTCGAAACTTGATTATATCGAAAATTTTACAAGTGGCACATTTTCGTAATATCTTCTTCCATTCAGAAAAACAATTTTCCCTAATTTCAACAAAATTACTATCGGTCGGAACTGTCAAGAATTGACATTTTGAATATAATATTCTCAAATTTAACCGATTTATCAAAATTTTAAAAAAGTTTTGATATATATATACCTATATAATAATTGGTAATTAGAAATATTCGTACACGTAATTAATTGTATTTTCAGTCAATGATAATTTTAAGTTACTGTTAGTTGTAGATAATAATAGTTTTAAATATTAATAGTTTTTGACAATAGTATTTTTTTTAAATGAATGTTTCTATTAATTGTTAAACTATTTAGTAATTTTAAATATTTTTATTTAAATTATTTGCATTTAAAAATATTTTAGTTATTTACAGTAAAACTGGTACAACCTATAAAATTTTAGATATAAAAACATAATATTAGTTACAAGTAATGATAGTTTTAAATATTTGTAACAATTTTTATTTAAATTAGTAAATGACTGTTGTAATTTATTTTTTTAAAGTAAATAACAATAAAAAAAACTAGTTAGTTTTGTTTTTTATATATTTATTATTTAAATAATAAAATGGTAGTCTCAAATATTGTAAATATTAATTAACAATAGATCTAATTAATGTTATTAATTACTAAATAACATTTGTTTAATTCTGTAATGTTGCAAACTTTATACATATTATTTATTTATAAAACAACTCTTTCGTGTCTACTTTTATTTAAATTTGTTTCTTGATATTAAATTTAATATATTTTCTGTTTAAATGTAATAATTTTTTTTTTTTTAATTTCAGGTATTATTTGAATAGATTCAAGGACGTTTATAGACAGTCAACAATCGATATGATGTTGGGTAATCCAATTAGCGATGATATATTCCAAGAACGCACTGATGAAGAAGATAATGCAGCTACAGCAATTCATGTTAAACTTTTAATTGAGGATTGCAAAAAGTTATTAATACCAGATCTAGATTCTGTTCTAGGAAGTTGGGGACTTATTGATGCTGACCCAGTGTACGTTTTCGTGATTATTTTTTTCTTTCTCTTTTTGTTCTTATTTATTTATTCAAAGCAATTTATTTTTTCATTTATTTTGTCTTGTCTCTTCTATCTTTGTTTTTTTAAATAATTTATCTTCTTTTAAAACATGTTATTAAAATTATATAAATAATAATATAAATATAATTTTTTTCTAATTTACAGAACTGGCGATCCAACGGAAACAGAAATAGACACAATTCTTATTTTGACACACGATAGTTATTATGTCGCTGATTATGATGAACAAATAGATAAAGTAACCAATTATCAGAGCGTACCTTTAACTGACATTGTTTTAATAGAATGTGGACATCCTGAAAGTACTGTTTCTCTTTTCAAGAATAAGCAACACTATTGTATTAGAATTCATTATAAATTAAACAATGACTATGGATATTTCCATATGTTTCGAAGTTCAAACTTGAGGTTCTTCAATAACATGGCAATAGTAATAAAAAGTGAAGAGGAAACAATAGGTAAAAGATTTAAAATTTTATATTTCTTTTTCAGTTCTGCGAAATTAATTTGACTTTTTTTTTATTCAGTTATTTAGAATAAAAATGATTAATGTAATTTATATCAATAGTTAATATTTCCTCGAAATAGTCTAAAAATACAAAATGTTACATTTTATTGTTTTGTTTCAGAATCTTTGAAAGCGATCGGGGAAGCAATCACAGTAGCAATGGAAATCTCAGCTTTACCAAAAGTACCAATAGCAATGAATGTAGCTTTAGACAAACGAAAGAGTAAATTGGTTAATTCAAAAGGTCACACTGGACTGTTGGATATTTCAACTTTTCCAGACTTAACACGAAACGTTTCTGAAACACAATTGTTAGCTTTGAAAAATGCCGGTTTGTAATAAATATTTATACATAAATTTTTCTATCCATTTTTAAGAATAATTGAGTTTAAAAAAAAAATAAATTACATTTTTGTCCTTTTTTTAGGAACAAAAGCCCTGAGCAATGTATCCGAACAGTTCAGCAAATTGAATAAATTCGGTCACAGTATTACATCAAAGAATCCAATAAATTTGGCGAAAAATTTAAGTAACAAAAAAACAGAATCTAATAAACCAACATTTACCGTTGGTGGTCGTGATATTGCTGGAAATTCAACGAGAAAGTCAAATAACAGTAGCAGTAGTAGTAATAGCAGTAATGAAAACATCGAAATGGTGCCAGTACGTTTTGAAAAGCCTGATAATTTTGAGCACGACAAGAAACTTATGGAGGGATATACACCAGTCATTGGAATCATAATGGGCGTTAAAAATGAGGTTGTTATTGAAAATGGTCAACAAAATGAATCACAAATTGATCACTCAATTACTAGTAATGAAAATAATATTTCGAATAAATCAAAACAACATCTCGATGGATTGAGTCTCATTTCACATTCACAATCTGGCTCGAATGTTCTCTACAGTTGTGACGGTAGTAAATTAGCAACAACACCAGAAATTACAATTCAAGGTGTTGAACCTGCGTACGAGGTTTCATCAATGAGTTTAAATCTTCCAAAAAATATCAGTCACTCGTCGGGTGAGGTTGATGGTCAAGTGATTTCTACTGTAACTTCTTTAAAGAGTGCTTTATTACAAGCGGACAACAAATTAGATAAAAAACGATCGACATCGGAGCAAGATTTAATATTGAGTATATCGTCATCGCAAAGTGAATCTGCCCTTAAATCGATGAAATCTGACATCACTAGTCCCGCAACAGCAGCTGCTAAAGATCTTTTCTCGCCATTTACAAAATTAGCTAAAGGTGTGCAGAATTTGGGCGCTAATCTAGATCCAAGAAAATTGAAATCAGGACAATTGGGAATGACAAGAAATTTATCGGATCATCACTTGGAGCAACGGCAAAAATTACAAGAACGATGGGTTAAGTGTAAATCAAAATTAATAGCACTCTAAACATCAGAGAAGGTTTGTTACAAATTAATTTTCCCATTTTTTTTTATCACTTACCCATTTTTAATTGCAACGTGGCTATAATTTTTCAATGACATGTTTGAATTATTCTCCATGTGTGTAAATATTTCTGAGTTGCGTTAAAAAAAAAATGTCAAAACAAAAAAACACCAATTTTTAAAAGATCATAGATTTTGGGAGAATTAAAATTAGGATTTCGGAATTGAAAATTAAAATTTAATTTTAAATTTATAATTGTTAAGAATGATGATACGATTCTTATTACAATCAATGGTAGTTGAATTTTATAGTGTATGTAAAATTTGTGGTAGTTACAAAATTTCTAATTAGAGTCAATGCTAGTTATAATTAATGGCAGTCACAATTTATTGTAGTTTCAAATATTTGACGCAATATTTGCAAAAAAACATATATATTTTATAAATTGTGCTTCACACTTTTCCTCAATGTCAATGTAAATTTTAAATGTCAATCAATTCGCTGAAAATTGTTTCCCTGAAATGAAAAATTGTTACCTTTTGGTCAATTATTTTCAATATTTATATTCAGCTTTTTTCTTTACTTTCAAAAAAGAAAAAACTTTATTTCTTCTAAACATTTGTATATTAAATTTGATATCAATCAGCATATCTATTTTTTAAAAACAAAGTAATTATATCCACGTTGCGTACTTATTGATAATGAGCCAACTTTTTTACTTTTCTAAACACACATGAAAAGTACAACACAGTCAATATTGTTCCAAATAGACGATATTTTCGTTAATACGTTCTGAGATTTTTACGAATTTTTTACATTAAAATCCAAAACTGAAACTGAATTCACCTGAAATTTCAGATTATAACAAAAAAAAAGAATATATATTTTTACAATATATGGAAAAGAACATTCAAGAATTGATTTTTAAAAAGTGGGAATGTAATTTTTTGCATAGGTATATAAAATGTCGAAAATAAAATATTGTTGTTTATAAACAGCACAAATTTCTTGCTGTATAATTAACGACAAATTTTTCTTGAATAGTACATAAAAAAATTAATTAAAATTTTTCTTAAAATAAATTGGAATTTATTTGAAGATAAATTTTAATTGATAGAATCTATTTAACGATAGATTTTTATTTATAAAAAATATTTTATCGAGTTTAATTTGTAGAAAACAGAATATTTAAAAATAATATTCCTATTAAGCAATTTTAGAATCCAATTTCAATTTTTAACTCGTTAATTTATACAGCAAGCAGAAAGAAGCAAAGCTTTGTTAGTCAATTATGTACATAAAAATAATTAACAATTACTAAAAAAAACTAGCCATCAATTCAAAATGTTAGATTCACTATACAGAAAAGTAGAAACAGAAAAAAAGTTACCACATTATACATTTAACTTATTGGCTGTTATTTTTGAACCTTAGAAACATTTTTTTATTAAGTTGCAAAACTATAATTTGCCGTTTTGTGATTTTTAGTAAGAAAAGTGATACCGAAAAAAAATATGTGCTTTAATAGAGATTAAATATTAAAATGTTATAACCTATTTGAATTGTAAACATTGAAAATCTTTGCTTAGGTGAAAAAAAAATCGTTGTACAAAACTGTAAATTATTGACAACATGGTATTAATATTTATTATATTATTATAACTTAGTTTATAATTAATTTTTTAATTTCTTTTGTTCGTATACTCAAATTTTTAATTTTAATTTAATTCACTTATTTAGTTTTTTTTTATTTTTCTTAATCAACAATATTAGTTGTCTATTTATTTAGATTATATACTTAGTTCTTTATTTATTTGGTTTATAATACATTTTTTTTATCTATTCATTTTATTTTTATTAACTTTATTTACAATAATTAATTATATTATTACTTCCTCATTGAGGAAGCTTTAAATTATTTAATTTTTTTTTGTTTTTAACGACAGAAGTATTACGATATAACACCGTAGAATATGTATATTTTAATTGCAATCAAACTTCGCTAACGCACTGTAAAAAAAATAACTATTACAAAATTGTCACGTGATTTTTTCAATTTTGACACTTTGAGAAAAAAGTGATTTCTCCATACAGGGTGGTCTTAAAAAAATAAATTTTACTTTCACTTTACGATATATTATTTTAAAGTATTATTATTAATACCATTTTAATAATAAAAATTATTATTAATATAATAACAATAATACTAATCAAATCATAAGTAATTACAAAAAAATATTTATGTTTATATAATTGTTTTATAAAAGTAAAATTAATTTTTATATGACTGCCCTGTAAGAAATTTTTTTAGTATTGTCTAATACAAGTATAGAAAAAGACTTGAAAAATTGTTTTCTTCCTTTGAATGCTTCGTTATATTTTTTACGCTAAGGAAATTGTTTGTAAATTTTGTTTCTTCTTCTCGATTCTGTGAAAGTATTTTTTTTTTAAATTTATGAAACAAAAAAGAAAGAGAAATTTTGTTTGTGTCTCGAATATATAAAAGAATTATTTTCTTTAATATATAAAGGTAAAAAAGAATTAAAAACAATGCTTTCATAATTAATAATTTTAGTTTCTGATTTTACAATCGTCGACAAGTTTCTAAGATGAAATCTGTGATAATTTTATTTTAGTAGGATATGTATATGTATAAGTATATATATGAGTGCTACGAAAAATTCTGTAATTCCTGCATTCCTGTATTATAGATATCATTACCAAATATGTGATTTTCAAGAATTTATAGACGTAATAATAATATAAAAATTATGCCCAGTGCGTTATAATTGTAATATCCAAAGTATTCATTCCTTTTAAGCTTTTTAACGCCAATAGAATATTAAATTTATTATAATTACACGTGTTTAACTTTATTTGTATATTATACAATAATTATATATGTATGGTCCAAAATATTATGCATAAAATCAGGCATCAATGCTTATCAGAAATTCTTATCAATTATATATATAGTTGTATATTAGTATATATATATAAAGTACAATGCGTCTACAGTATTCTAATAGCTGAAGATGTAAGATAACTGATAAAAAAAATATTAAGTCAACGCATGAACAATAATTTTAGTGTGTATTTTTGCGTAGCCTAATAGGGGCTTTGTATGCCTTATAAATTTAAAATTCTAGTTCGAAATTAAATTGTAAAAATTTATTTGACGAATGTCGAAATAATGCAAGCACTTGTAGAAATTTCGCAAAAATAAAATGCATTGACTGATTATTTATCGAATTTTTAATTATCTCTCTTCCAATAATTGTGTATAATATTATTATTTATTTTATTACTTTTTTATTAATTAATTTTTTAATAAAAATATGCATTAAAATGATTTTTTTCAAAAAAAAAAATATATTAATTTTTTATAAACAGATAAGTTTTATTCATCAAAAGTAACAAATTATTATTAATTTAATTTAATAGTTACATAAATTAATAAGTATAGAATAAAATAATTAATAATGCGCGTAAAATAATAAATATCTCAATTATAGATTACTCATTCATGAGAGAACTTTTATTTTGACTAATGTTAAATAAATCAATAAAATGATAATGATTAATTCATGAATTAAGGGGGAAAAAAAATTTGTTTAAATTTAAACAGCCCGCGTAAAATGCACTTGCTATATTGACGCGCATGCGTATTTAACACAACAGTCATGCACATGCGCATAACCTCCATGATCCGCAATGTCCGCAGAAGCACTTGCTATTCTTCATAAGACAGTCGTTTGGTTTTTCGCATTTTCCTAACAGAAGGAAAAATAATTAGTGTATCTCAGTGCCTCGATTGAAAACGTGATATGTTTGACCGAGTGTAAATTAAATATTCATTGAAAAAAAGAAGCTTATTAAAGAAAAGCATCAATACGCAAAAAATGGGTGAGTACAATTTTTGTGATCTACTGTTGAATTCTGTTCATTCTCGTGTGCCGGTTACTTATTTTTTTCTAAATTCATTACTTTATTCCATAAATATTTAATAAATGTTTATTTATAGGCATCTATCTGTAAATAGAAATGATATTACGATGACAAATTTGACCTTTCTCAGTGGTATTTGCACAATTTTTCATATGGTTAGAATTTTACTGCTTTGCTCTCGATGGCGGACCAATGTTTTCGAGACGGTCGAAACAAGGGTGCAACGCGCCTCTATACCTATAATTAGTCGTATCGTCGATTTGACGTTTTCTTGGCTGACGATGGCTCATTCTTGTCTTGAATATTTGCTTTTCATTTTTGTTATGATGGTCGTTTTTCTCTTAAAAACGTTTGCCTTCTTGCGCTTATATACTTATACTATTGAAGAAGCGCGGTGTCGCGCTATTTGAGCGTGACCTGCATTTGCCGGCTTGGGCTGGGCTGGTTTGTTGGCTCAACTCACTCGTCGTTGCACCGACCGTATCCTCCTTCACAAACGTTGCACCGATCGTTCGATTCTTTGCACTTGATTCACCCCTCGAGACAGAGCTTATAGTCGCAGATGGCCTTTCAGCCCTATTATACAGGAAAAAAAAAAGAAGAGGGATTGTCTTTAAAGAAACCTTAGGGAATTCTGAACCAAAGTAAAATATGACAATGTACCACCAGTTTTCTAATTAATTATGAAAAAAAAACAAGTGTGTAGTCTCTTTTTACGCAATCATATCCACCGACCATTACCTCACTTAATCAGTGTCAATTAACAGACTTACCTCTCCCTCGCAGACTAAATACAAAACACTTTCTGTCGCACAATAATGTTGCATCTGTTTTTTTAAAAATATTTTTATTATAATAATGTTTTTAATATTTAAGACTTCATGGAAGAAATTTGATCTTTTTTTTTAATAGATAATTGTTATTTTATAGGTAGCGCTAATTGTTTCTTTTTTTAAAATAAATGCATTGTTCTTTTGTAGAAAGCATCAATTGTTTTTTTTTTTTTTTTGTAAATAAAAGCATATTGTTATTTTTCAGGAAGAGTCTTAGAAACACATTAAGTCCGGTGTGATATTTCAATTAATTTATATCCTATTTCGTTGGCAGCTATTTTATTTCCGGAACTTTACAGCTTCTTCTTTGAGCCAATAAATTCAATATATTGGTGCAGTCAACTCTGTAGCTGTTGCACTGACTCTCATTCGAAGTCACTTTATAATCATTCAGGCAAAACAGATGGAAGATAAGAAAGAATGACGACTATTGTGCTTTGAGTTCAATGAAACTTTTACGCACATTTTGAAAATAGTTGCAAATTTTAAAGAATAAGAGAAATTGAAATTTTAATAATAATAGAAAAATTAAGGCTAAAATGTGTTTTCGTGAAAGACAATTTTTTTTTTGTTTCGATTCAAACTTTTAAAGAATTACGATTGTTTAATAGGAAATAATTTTGAAAATTCGAGAATTATCGTCTGGATTTAATAACGAAAATTTTATGTTGAAAATACATATTTTTTTCGGAAGGAAAAATAATTTAATTTCCGATTTTTTTCATATTAGGAAAAAGAAATAGTTTGAAAATTCAAAATACAATGTTTCGAAAGAGATAATTTTTTACATTACTGATTTTTATTATATTCTTTGAGCCAAAAGTTTTGAACGTTCAAATGAACGAAATATTTTTTTCAATTTATAAATTATTAAAAATTATGATGGCTAAGTAAAATAAAACGTTAAATTAATTAATTATTAAATTAATAACTTCTTTTTAGATATTTAAAACAATATTTTGTATAATAAAATTCGTACTTAAAGAAATTGTAAAAAAAATTTCGTTCATTTGAACGTTCAAAACTTTTGGCTCATTATATTCTAAAAATTTTTTATTTTTATAAACTAAGAAAATATTAAAAATTTAAATATTCTTAAAGACAATAATTATCTGATAAGTATGATCATATTTTATTCATTTTCTTTTTTTATCAAAGATAAAAATTTGTTTATTTTTACATTGAATTAAAATTGAATCAAATACTAAAAGAAATTTTATATAAATTAAAAATCGAGAACAATTGATTAAAATTAAACTATAAAATCGGCTTAAATAGTTTTTTTTTTAAATTACATTTAAATTTTAATCCAGATGAAAAAAATAAGATGAATGAAGAAAATGTGAAAACAAATTTATTTTCTATTTTTAAAAAATACACATGGGTAGATGGAAAAAAAAATTGCCAACAATTTTGTATGAGGATATTCTGAAAGAACTTCAATTACATGGTTGATTTGATATTGATTTTTTTTCTTACTGTACTACAGATATATATACACTGGTGCAATAAACATAAGGGTGACTCCCTCTTAGAAGTCATTCTCTTGATTGCCTTTACTTCATCCGATGATGTGCTGCATCTCTCTTTCTCTTTGCTTTTACAACCTTGCAACCTTGGTTTTCTATATTACCTTGTGTTGAACCTCTTGACCAGACCTGAAAATTATTCATAAGAGCACTTTCAGTTTCTTTTTCAAAAATTGCAACTAGAGCAAACTCTTTAAAGTCGATAGCATCTCTCAATTGTTTTATTTTTGGAAAAAGAACATTTTTTATTAAAAATATTTTAAAATTGTGAAAAAAGGTTCCTTATTTTTATTAAATAAAAATTAACTTTGGATAAATTTCTTCTTTTTATATATAGCTATCTCTTTTTTTTTTGTTATTTTTAAACCGGTTAGGTAAAGTAGTAAAAACATTTTTTTAAAATTATAATAAAAAGCACTTGATCTTTAAACATTTGCGATGATTCATTCGATCAACGAATTCATAAATTAACAGAGTTATTTTTCTACTATATAATAATGTATACATCGCGCATCTCGTATTTATTAATAGCTTGAAAATATAATTTATTACTCAATCGAGAATTTTTTTTAGTGGCACTTGACTTTTTAATATTATTGCCAAAGGTGAAAATTTTACATCTGCAAATGTTCCATAGTCTTATGTAATCGTTGAAGAGAACCTTCTTCTCATTCTTTTTACAGATAGAATTAGATTAAACGAATTCCAGATTGACTATATAACATTAAAGCTTAAAATAGTTCGTATTTAGATGTACATGTTTTAATATTTTTTAATTTTTTTAAAAATTAAAATATATGTTTTTAATCATAATTATATTATAGACAGCTTTATGAGAATTTTTTTTTTAATTCAATAATAATTTCTCGATGTTATAAATTATATCGTTTATACAGTAAGTGGCCCATAAATCAAATTCTTTTCTGGGTGTATTTAACTTGACTTCTTATACACATGTGGCCTGTTAAATTTCATAGTTCGGAATCAAGGACAAATCGCGCACACACACACACACACACACCTTTGTTATCGTCACATAAAAAACACGTGTAAACAATTTATGATAAAATCTTGTTAAAATTTTCAAAGTTCAATTCCTATTGACAAGTGTTTTTTATTTTATTGGGAAATTATGCCCTTTTTTCAAAGAATATACTTGAGTATATTTTACTTTATTGAATCAAATTTGGATGGAAAAGCTTTTGAAATAAGCTATAAGTTATTTTTTTTATTTAAACCGCGAAAATTCAGCTTTGTCAGATTGAGATTTTATATAGAGTATATAAGATATATCGCAGTTTCGAACAGCGAATAAAGAAGCTTATCTCTTTTTTTTAAAAGATAGCATTGGGTTGTCTTTGTAACAAATCGCTTGTATCAATATTAACATCACGTTTAGTCATGTAAAACGTATATTAATAAAATAAAAAAACAAGTTTCGTCAACAATATATTGATTTTTAAATAGTTTTTCGATATTTAAAAGAATTTTGTTTTTTTTCATACTCGCGAAAATTTCCAAATAAATTCTATTTTTGTTTTCTGCACTGAAATGATCGATGATAATCTAAATTTGAAAATGAAGTAATGAGTTATCATATCATACCTATATCAATTTTTTTTTTTTTTTTATTAAATTAATAAATTGGTTCTCAAATAATTAAATCAGGTTATACATATCTGTATAAAGCAATTGGAGCGAATCTATTGAAACAAGAACTGTTTCAGTGTCAGACAACGGCGAATACATATCGTTTATTTAGTGTACAAGATAATAAATATTGAAAAGAGAACTACAATGTTGCATATAGTATATATACTCTATCTCAATTTATAAGTGGCTAGAAGAAAAAATAGTTTATTATTTTCTTTCCGTTCGAAAATTGATGCCGATAATCATTTTTTTAAAACTTTGAAAGTCGGCTAATATTAAATGAGAAAATTTTTAAAAAATTTTATTTATCGATTTTCCTCAATTACATTTTGAAAGTAATAAAGAACTACAAGATCTAGTTTCCTGGTTTATTGCAATATAATGAATAAATGAATAATATTTTACAATTTTTCAAATTAGTTTGCAAAATTTATAAACTATACATTTTCTTAGATATATCAGTAACTGATATAATATTGTGTTTATTTTATCATTGATTGGAACTACAAATTGTAAAAACATTCTCTCTCTAAATTAAAATTATAGTAAATAGTGAACTACTAATTGAAATTATTATTTGAAAAATTTAATTTTCTTTAAAATTATTCTAAGAGTATATCATTAACTGAATTCTAAATTTAAAAAAATATATATTTAGTCCAAAGAAAGAAATGGTTTTTTGTATTTTAAAAACAATAAAACTTAAATGACCAAATGAATTCAGTAAATGATGCTCATGCAGTCAGATAACTATCCCTATAGCAGTTTATTCCTGGAAACGTCATTTCGAACCAGTGACATCATACAACAGCACTTGAAATATAGTAGGGGGAGATCTACACTGTCATGAATCTACCTTACTTTCTTATATTAGTGTCGGTTCGCGTTTCAACTGATGAGGATCATTCGGTTCTTCCTTAAACCAATTGAATTAAAAATTAATCTCAATTTCTATTATTTTCTCATGCGAGATAAAAGTTAAAAGTGAAAAGGTGTTATAAACATTTTAAATAATAGATATTAATGAATAATTTCAAATTTTAAATTATAATTTATAACAAAAATTAAATTCTATATTGTAAATTTGTATTATTTATGAATTAATTTGATTTTAGTGATATATCATCTGAAAATTATTTTTAGTCTACAAAAAGAGATTGGTTTCGATTATTATTGTTATAAATTATTATATTAGTGAAAATTGGAATATTGTGCTGTGTGCCAATTCAGAGTGAAAAATTACTCAATTTGTATAAATTTTTGGTGGAATAATGAAGCCGAAAAAGAATGAAAGCTTAATAATGAGTGAAAAAAATGGGGTCATGAGCGATCCCGGCCCCGAGACACATCTTAAACAACAAAAGCAAATAAAAAAGGGTGAGAGAATCGACAAATTTTAATTAGATTATATTTAGTGGCTATAGAGGGGTTTTTAATTGATTACTCATATGAAATTAAAAGAGAATTTTTCTTAAAATAATCTTCGATATTTATAGATTAATTGTAAAATAATTTTTTACGGTTTATAAAATAAATGAAAAATTAAAATAATAATAATAGTAATAATAAATTAAATACTGAAATTAGATAAAGAATTATTCGAAATTAAAATTTAGAGTAAAAGACTTTCATATTATGTAAGAATAAGAGCAAAAGTATATCGGGCAAAAATAATTATTGACGTGTCAATTTATGACAACCTTTATTTTTGAGTGCCAAAGATAAGGAGGCAGAGGTATGCATGAACCGCGCACACGATAACGAGTTAACCACAAAAAAAGAACACTTCCATTACTTGCATAAAATCATTGAGGTTTCTAATGTAACTTTAGTAATGTCTATTTTTAAATTCTGTAATTATTAATCTGGATTTATAACCACTAACAATTATCTGAGCCTGCATAATTACAAACTTTTTTTATAAGTTTTAATTTATTACTTTGAAAATGTAAGACACTAATAAAATATATAATTCACAATTTTTAAAATAACTAGCTTTTTAATTTTTGAAAATTTAAATAAAAAAATATTTCTCTTAATTAGATTGAAAAAAAAAATTTGTTTTGTTTATTATTTTTTTAATTATATAATAAATAATACTTTTTTGTTCTAAAATTAAAAATTTAATTTTTTATTTTTATTGTTTTTTTTTTTTAATTTTATTGTTTACTATTTTTATAACTTATTACTTTTAAGTTGGCCGTTTTTATTGTTCATTGTTTATAAGACTATTAGTTGATTATTTCTTTGAAACAATTTTAAGATATATAATTTTTGTTATGAAACGTTTGCACACATTACGAAAAAATTTGTAGTTATATATATTTTTTTTTTACTTTTAAAGCTCATGTAAGAATAAAACACACTGAACAAAAAATTTATTTGATTCAAATACTTTGATTACCTGACTATTATCAAATAAATATTTACTTGAATCAAATTATTTTTATTTGAATTAAATAAATTATATTTGAACGAATAATTTTTGTATTTGAAACAAACATCATCTCAAATAATAAATATTTATTTGATATAAATCAACTAACCAATTATTTGAATCAAATAAATTTTTTTTGTTTTCAGTGCAAGTATACAATTTTGAATCAAAGAATCAATAAAAATAAATTTTTATATAGATAAAAAAAAAGTTGTTAAAATTTAACGACGATTAGAGAAACTAAGAATATTAGGATAAGTAATTTTAATAGAAATTAAAATGGTAGATAATTGTAAAAGAGAGAATTAAAAAAAAAAATAAAAATAACTTTATCGATTATGTGGATTAATTTAATTTATAAATAAAGAAATATTTTTTCAATGTTTGAAAGTTTAAAGAATCAAGTAATAATTTTAAAGAAATATTTTTCTAATGTTTGAAAGTTTAAAAGAATTATATATTTACAACCGGATTTAAAAGTTGCGCATATATATGTATAGTATACTAAAAGTTATTCTCGCGTGCAAAATAGTGTTGACGAAATTTTTTTTATCGCGTCGTGAGGTAATTATTTGTGAGACATTCTATACACATTATTATCTTTTTGAAAAAAAAGCAACAGTCAATAACTATGTAACACGTACCGGCGTGTGTATTATGTAATCGATGAATGACGACTACCGCTTCCTTGCCCAGTGACTGATTAACATAAATGCTATAAGCGAAATTTATTCCTCGAAACAAGCAGAGCCTAAAACCTGTTACATCGTGGTGTAATAGAACGGATGATATTATCATAAAAATAATTCCGCATATTGTTTCCGTTTTTATAGGCTTTTCGCATTTTCTCCTGATGGCGCCAATAAGACTCTAAAAACAACATTTTCCCATTGTATATATACATTTGGAAAGTCTATGTATATACTAATTAGACGAAATTTGTTAAACGGCTATTATAGAGACATTAGCAGACAATAATTTATATTTTATAGTGTCTCTCGAAGTGCATAGAGAGCTTGGGTCGTCACGTTTGACCCCACTTTGCGACATCCTATTTAACCCACTTTATGAATCACATTAACATATCGCACGAATACCACTTGGGGCATTGACAAAACGCCTACTAGGATCTGTCTCGTTTCTATATAGTTATACGAGAGGCTATTTATCGCTGATAGATTTTCTCATCTCTTTATACAATTGCTAAGAGATTGCAATCGATAAGATTAGTGGAGATTGCTCCTTTTTAATAGAGGAAAAACTGCCAAACAAAAATTATATACAATTATTATCAGGGTATCTAGCGCGTCGTGGAATTTCTAGTGAATAGCTGGAAAAATCTTTTATTATTTTTGTACCTGATTTTTTTTTACTATTAAATTTTTAGATAGTTTTGGGATAATATTTAAAATTTTAAATACTAATTTTTAGATAAGACATTTTTTTGAAACATTCGATTGAAAATTAAAAAAAAAAAAATCTGTTATTATTTTTAAATTATGTTTATCATTATTATCACGGTTTTAAGAGAAATAAATAGCTTTAAATTGATAATTTTATATCAATTTCATATATAATTTCATCATTTATTTATTTTTAGTGATATTATCGAGAGGTAAATTTTGAAAAATATATAGTATATAATTTGGACATATAATTTATATTTAATGTTTCTTTTTTCATAAAAATAGATAACTGAGTAAGTGAAAAAACATTTTTTCAACATTGAAATCTGGAAATTTTATTTTGAAAAAATATGATAGACGCACCCTGTGATATATTTTAGAAATTTTTTTATAATAATAATAATAATAATAATAATAATAATAAATCAATCAATTTAAAATTTTATTTTGTGATACTTCGTTGACTAATTCAAATTAGTACAATTTTTTCACTAATTTTGAGTAAAATATTATTATTTGATTCAGTAATATTTTTTTAAATTAAAGTTTTAGTAAAAAGCATGTTTTTTTTAAATTTACTAAATGGCAAATATTCTAAAATTAAGTATAAATTCTTGGCACCAAATTTTAGAATGTTTCAATACAATTTATTCTTAATAATTTTATTATACTGAGAAAACTATGTTATTAACCATTAAAAAAGCATAAAAATTATTAGTTCAAAATATTTTAGCGAATATGAGCTGAAAGTTTTGAACGTTCATATGAACGAAATATTTTTTTCAATCTATAAATTATTATTAAAAATTATGATGACCATGTAAAATAAAATAGTAAATTAAACAATTATTAAATTAATAACATCTTTTTAGATATTTTAAACAATATTTTGTAATAAAATTCGTAGTTAAAGAAGTTGCAAAAAAAATTTCGTTTATATGAACGTTCAAAACTTTTCGCTCATTAGCGAATGTATGTATCGTATTTTGTAAATTTTGTGTATGTTTTTGAACAATAATATAAGTTTTATATTTTGGTATTGTTGATTCAATATAAACATACCATATTTTTAATTTTTATATATTCTATATTTTTTAAATTACAAAAAAAGGAGAATTTTAAGTAAAATATTAAAAGTTTATTTTTGTAAATTGAATAAATACGAAAATTTCTGTTATTTTAACTTAATGGAAAAACTATTTTTATTCTTAAAAATGTAAATTGTTAAGTTTTGAGAATAATTCTAGTTTAATTCTGAAAAGTTTCAATGATGATAATAATAATAATAATTATTATAATTATTATATTATTATTGTTATTAAAAAAAAAAAATGAAAATATAGGAAAGTTTATAATGAAACTAGAAATAAATGGAATAATTGTAAACGTAAAAATTAAATATAATTTATCAAAGAGTAAAAAAAAACAATTTATTATTCAAGAATAGACACACGCAATCTTTGAGCAACTTTTTATTGTACTTTCGCAGTTCAAGGAACTTTTTTTTTTGTTTCATTTAAAAATAAACGTTTTACTTTCGCAGCAAATTTCATCATATTGTTTTCCATAAATTTGTAAAATAACTTTTTTTTATTTCACATTGAATTTGATTCAACGTTTCTATAAATTATTTTATTATTTACAAAAATATAAATATTTACAAAAAACAAACATATGACAATAAATGCGTCTTATTATATAAAATAATAATTTGTAATAATAAGACTTTTGTCATTTTGTTTATGTACTCAAGTTTTACGAAAATCTGGGTATTTCCGTATATATTTGTGTTGATTAAAGTCATTCGTTTAATTATTTTTTAATGAAACCAACTTTTTTAACTGATTGCTTTTCTATTGTAATGTACATTTCGAACTAAAAATTAGAAAAAAAAGAATATTTTCAAAATCATCTTTAATTTTAAAATTTTATAAAAATATACATTTTTAAAATATTGTATCATAAAAAAATTATTGAGTAATTTTTATATCTTAGTGAAAAACAATATTTTATTTTATCAATAGAAATTTTTTAATTTAATTTTTTTTATTATAATTTGAATTTCTTATAGATTGTATATACAATCGATAGGAAAAATCAATAGTGATTGATTTGAGTGAGAATCAACTTTATACATATACATATATTTATATTCAATTTGTTTTAATAGTGGAGTATTTCAAGGTCTTGATTTTTACATTTTTTGCCCGTTTATACATAATATATTTCTCCATCAATTTACAATTATATAATAATGCTATTTCACATTCTATATATATATAAAAACGTATGAATTCCACGCTTTACTTAATTTATTAACCAAAGGACCGTGGATTTCAAATGCAAATAATTTGTAACGGGGACACGACATATTTTCTTTTACATAAACTAAAGTTGAAACAAAACATATAACTTTATTCTTAACTTAAATTAGGTTTTTGAAAAACAGTCATTTCAAACAAAATAATATTTAACTACAATAATAAAAATGATCTTGATGATTGCTTTGAATTGCTGCAATCAATAGTAATTTTAACATATAGGGGTACATTCAGGTATAATTTTAACATTGTCTATTCATGACATGTATACACGCGAAAAAAATTATAGCGCAATAAACTCACGGATTTTTATGAAAGTTGGTATAAAATATTTTTTAAACCGTCAAATACGAATGAGAAAAATACAAAATTTTTGAACATTCCCAAAAAGGAACACTAATTTTAATTTCAGTCAATGATAATAATTTTGACCAAATTATAGTTTGAATCAATTGTTCTTAACTAATTTTAATTTCTACTATAATGTTAAAATTCAAAAAAATAAATTACTAAAATTTTGTCTAAATAATGTAATAAAATTGTTATCTTTTTTTTTTTAACGTCGCAAACTATATCCTCATAAAAGTTTACATTAGCGATAATATCTTTTATGATTATTTGCTTTGAACACTATTCATGTTTCATATTTAGAATGTATAAGCAAAGAATATTAGATTCTTAAACTATATAGCATTTCGTATAAAATTATTTCTCTACATCAACCTATATCAATGTGACAATAATAGGTTTAATATTACAAAGATAATATTACCATAGTGTAATATTATTACATAATAATATATAACAACATTTTTGATATTGAAAAATACATACCATGTGTCTGAAGTACTGAACGTTCAACGAAATCATTTTTTTGGTATATAAATTTTTTAAAATGAAAAATCATCAAGTACCATTAAAGTATACTTAATAATTTCAATAATAATATTAGTAATAAAAATAATAATAATAATAATAATCATAATAATAAATGGAAAATAAATTATTAATTAGATTAATAAAATTGAAATGAATTTTTGAATCAACTAAAATTCACGTACTTTCTATGTTGTATTAACGCATATTTTCCGGAAGAAGCGTCTTGCTTTGAGGCAAAAAGGCAGAGAACCTAAAATTGGAAAATCAAGTGAAACAAAATCAAAAAGGCACTTCCTACTCTACTGCCCACGTGTCTTTCATCCTAATTTTAAAAGCCCATTATCCAGCATCCAACCCTCATGATCTTTCTCTCTTATTCTCAAAAATGCTGAAACTTTCGTGACACTATTAAAAGTAAAATATCCAAAGTCTATACACATTATATATATGATGTCACAGAATATTTTTAAACTCCCTCATGAGGGTTTTCGAAGTATATATATATATATATATATTGCTTCTGTTTACGTTACTCAATCTTTCTATTAAGTAGACGTACGCATTGAAAATATCTTGTACACATGCAGTCAAAGGTTCAATCTTCAACAAAGGTGCCATTACCGTCTTCATTATACAGTTGTGCATGCAGAACCGTTATACCTATATACATATAGATGACATCTCGAGTTACTATCTTTCAAGTTCTCGTCATTACAAATTAACTCTATCATTATATGTTATTTCGAAAATTACTATATAACAACAATATCTCAAAATACAAAAAAAAAAATTCTACTTTTTTTTATATACATTGTTAAAGCATTACTCTTATATTTACTTTGTAGACTTTTCTTTATTTATTTTTATTAATATTACTATTATTATTATTAATACTATATTGATATTTAAAAAAATTGATTTTATAGTAAAAATTTATATTTAAATTTTAATAACTCAAAATAAAAAATTAAAAGTTATAACACTTAAAAAGAATTTGAAATTTATATACAATAAAAATTTGTTACCTATTAAATTTGATGATGTTATATATGTCTTATAATAATTTATATTATTTCGATGGCTCTTTTGTTTGACTATATATAATATACGTTTTATTGAATGACCTAGCGGTACATATCTATTTTAAAATAGAATTTTTTTTTTTCTCATGGAAAATTTGTCAAGTTACATTAAGGCGCTAACGATCAAATAAATATTTTAGATTTTCTTAGAGATTTCTTATCTCTATTAGAAATAGTTGAAAATAATTTATAGAAATTTAAAGGTTCTTCTTTTTGTCTTGTGAAAAGAAAATGTCGACAATTTTTTCTTACATTCTTTCGATAATTTTCATTTCTTTCTTGGATTTAAAATATGAGAACATAAAATATTTTTTTTTCTTTTGTATTCTAACTTTAATTTTTTATTACCTTGAACTCATTTTTAGTTAAATATTTATTTAATTGGAATACAATTGGAAATTTTTTATTCTTTAGAAAAAATGTCATAATTTTTATATAGATGTAAAATAAAGAAAAAGTTGAGAATAATTAATTTTTACTTTTTATTAAATGAAACATTTATTGAAGATTTGCTATCTTCAATTTATTTAAAATTAGTTACCACGTACTTTAATTCTCCCATGATCGGTTTATGACAATCGATTTCTAAAAGTAAAAAAACATTTTGTGACAAGGTTCACAAACGTGAGAAATGATTTCCGTTGGTTAATTTAGAAATAATTGTATAGCTCTTTGAAGAAAATAAATAAAAATAAAAAAAAAACAAGACAGCAGTAATTTAGCTTTAAAATATTCAACTACTGGTTGTAAAAGCTATGTTACTTTCGCACAATAAATTCCTTTGTATTAGGCCCACGTCCGGCCACTGACATTGAGATGTAAAAAGCGGAATTGCCTATATATATATATATAATAGTGAAAAACACTTTTTTTTATTTTATTTTCTTTTTTTGTAACTTTTACACTATGTTGGAAGGAAATACATATAGAACTCTCTCTTTTTTCTAATTATTTATTTATTTACGTGTTGAAAGGATTGTTGTTTTGATCGGAAGGAAATCGATTGGAGTTAAAGTGGAATGTCGTGTGTTATGACTCATGCACCTGGCTGACCGAACCCAGTCAAGAAAATCATCTTGCACTTTTTATGAGATTGCTAACTGTTACGTGCTCTGCATTTATATATTATAACATTAAATCTCATGATCGATGATGCTTGAAAACAATAGTGAGGGTTGACCCTGTTTTGATTTAAAAAAAAAAAATCCTCAATTTTTCAAATTCATTTTTGTATGCGCAATGAAAATATTAAATAAGAAGTCATTGTAATTTCGCAATTTTACTATAATCAGTTTGTTAATTTGATAATTCAATTATAACTTCTCACTTGAAGTTATTGCACCATTTTCATCTCTCCATTTTGGCTAATTAAATTAGTCTCTTTACTATTTGCTGAATGAAAGAAAAATTCTCTACCATTAGATAAAAATTTTGAAAAAAGAAATAAAATAATTTAAATTATTTTTAAATTCTTTGCCTTTTGATTTAGTCGCCTACCTTAACACAAATTCATCAATATAAAAATACGATGCGTGGATATTGTGTGCATATTTTTAATTTAAAACGTTCATATTATTTTGTGTTACATTCATTACGCCTTAGCAGACAAACATGTTGAGAATTTTAATCGTATTGTGATTCATTCATTGAATCGCAAATGTAAATAATTACACTTGCTTAATAATGTGAATTTACAAGTGACAAGTGTTTTATTTATTTACAACAATTATTATTCTCATCATTTTTTTTTCTAATATTAGTAAAATTAGAAAAACAATATTCTCTTTGAGAAATTATTTTATCCAGAAATTTTTATTTATTTAACAATATAATTAAAATGCATCATTAAATAAAATATATATTTATGATTCTTCAGTTATTTTCAGTCTTTGTTTATCAGAATAATTATTGATAACATTGTTTCTGTTTCAGGAAAGACCTTCTGTCAGTCTTGCAAGAAGAAATGCAGCGGAGAAGTATTACGTGTACAAGATAAATACTTTCACATCGCGTGCTTTAAATGTGCGCAATGCAATTCGAGTCTCGCGCAGGGTGGATTTTTTGCAAGAGAAGGTTCCTATTATTGCACGAAGGTATTATTTTTAAAAAGTTTCAAAGAATTATGAAAAAGAATTTTTTTTATTAATTTTACTTGAAATGATTTTACATTAAAATAATATTTTTTTATAAAGAGTGAAAAAATTATTTATATTTATAATGATATTAGTAATGATGATAATAATAAATTATTTAATAATAGCAATAGATCGTAAATATTAATAGATAGAGCATAGGCTAAAAATAACTGAAATTATTTTCCCTTTCAGGATTATCGCGAGAAATGGGGTACGAAGTGCGCTGGTTGTGGGGAATACGTTGAAGGCGATGTAGTTACTGCCGGAGAAAAACACTCGTTTCATCCAAATTGTTTTCACTGTCAGAGATGTAGAAAACCTCTTTTAGGACAAGGAACTAAAGTTACTTTAGTTCAAGGTGAGATTTAAAAAAAACTGTTTATTTTTTTTAATCAAAATACTTTTAATTTTTTAAAATTTTAATTCATTTTAATCACGCTAAGTAATTCAATTGCTACTCAATCTTAATTACTAATTATAATTTAATTGTTAATTAATTTTAAATACAAATTAATTAATGCTGCAAAATATTGTTTTCAATCTTCTTATATTCTTTTATTTGTATGTATTAACATTAAAATATATTTATACATATAAACTTTCAATTCAAAATATAAATTTTTATAATTTTACATACAATCATTTTAGTACACAGATTTTTTGCAATTTTATTTTTACACAAAAAGCTAAATTAATTTGGAGAAACAGAATTTCAAAAATTGATAAAGAGAAAAATAATTTAAACTTTAAATCAAAATTTTGTTTAAAAAAAATTTAGATTAAAAAATTTTAGAACATTTATATTGTATAAAATATTGAAAAATTACATAACAGTAAAACTTAACTTTATGTCTGATTAAATTTATCATATTGTCGTGTAAATTTACGTTTTTTTAAACTTCTTATATTTTAAAAATTGTTAGAATTAAAAATTTTTACTGTTCACAATAAATGAAATGGATGTAATTCTGAAATTGATGCCACTTTAATTTTATTATTGGAAAAAAAAGTGTGGCAATGAAAATTTAATTGAAGGCAGATAATTATGTTTCGATCAGTATCAAATTTCTAAGCAATCAAATTTCAATGTCATCTAATTAATATTAGATGACATTGAATTTAATTGTTTAGAAATTTGATTGGATCAAAACGTAATTATCATATATATGGGGTCGGCATTTACTCAATTTTTTTTCTTTTTTTAATTGTCCATTTGTAGGGCAAGCTTTGTGTCATCGATGCGTCAGTATTCCGATACGTGAAGCATCAACTCCAGTAGGTAATTCGCAGGCTACAGGTAATGGATCTAATGATCCTGGAGCATGCGCTGGTTGCAGGCAACAATTACGAGAAGGTCAGGCCTTGGTTGCGCTTGACCGACAATGGCACGTCTGGTGCTTCAAATGTCATAGCTGCGATACCGTTCTTCACGGGGAGTACATGGGAAAGTAAGTTAACAACCCCCTCTCAGCATCTTATCAAATATTTCTACATTTCAATATTTTTCTAGTTTATTCAATTCTTGTTATTTAATTTAAAAAATTATGTTATTTTTTAATTTATTAAAATAACAGGGTGTATATTAATTGTAATTATAGCTAGGGAATTTTTCGTCGAATAGTTAATTTAAAATTATTGAAAATAAATATTTTAGTATCTTTTCAATTTAATGGAATTTATATTTAACAAAATTTTCACTGAAGAACAATTTTATTTTGAAGAATTCTTTTTTAACAGATTTTTTATAAAATCAAAATTTTATTTAATTAAACTTCTACTTATACGGAATTTTTGTTTAATTTGATTTTCAATAAGCAGAACTTTATTTAACTGAATTTTCATTAAAGATCATTTTTAGTGGAATGAATTTATTTTAATTTTTATTTTGTAGAATGAAAAACAATTGCAAATTAAATGTAAAAGAATAAATTCACTGCATTTGGAAAAATGTATTTTTATAAAAATAATTAGTAAAATATGTTTAAGAAAAATGTTTTTTTTAACAAAAATAAAATTGAAACATTGTAAATTTATTAACGTAAAAATAAAACATAACATCTCGTAATTAAAAAATTGTAGGAACTAAGGAAATTAATTTAATTAATAAAAGAATAGAAATTATAAAAAATATAATCTATTTTCTTAGAGATGGGGTGCCTTATTGTGAGAAAGACTATCAAAAGCAATTTGGCGTTAAATGTGCCTACTGCAATCGATACATTAGTGGAAAGGTACTTCAGGCTGGTGAAAATCATCATTTTCATCCAACATGCGCGAGATGCACAAAATGTGGTGATCCTTTCGGCGATGGTGAAGAAATGTACTTGCAAGGTGCTGCAATTTGGCATCCACGATGTGGTCCCGGTCCCACCGGTTCCAATGGAATTGTCAATGGTCATGGTGAACCTCACACACCACAACATAGAGAATCCGAACGTATTTCCAGCAGTGCTTCGGAAATGCAGGTAAGAAATACGCTGAAGGTCAGTTTTTATTTATCATAAGTCACGTTTTTTTTTCTCTCTTTTTGACAGAATTTCTAAACGTGCTTCTTTATGTCGTATATTATTATTATTATTATTCTTTTTTTTATATGACAATCATCACAGGAAATACCCTTTTTGATAATAATCCCTTTTATTTAAAAATGTATATAAATTTTCATTATTATGTAAAATTCTTTTTATTTAAAATCCCTGTAAATTTACTTTTGCAATTTAAATTTTTATATTTGACAATTTTTCGTTTTTTATTATTGAAAATATTTTTAAATAAATTTTCTTTTTATGTTATTTTATAAAGTGATGATTATAACACTTATAATCGAAAGGTGACTGTGTATTATATGCTCTTAATTTTTTAGTCATCTGGAATTTAATATATCTTAGTTGTTAATTTTAAAATACTGAATTATAATAATTATCGCAAATACTAAAATTTTGAATGCAATATCTTTAAAAAAAAAAGAAGTCACGAATAAAAATTTCTTAAAAATATTTTTTAAATCGCTAGAAAACCCCGACCTTGATATTATAAGCTTATCAGCTTCGTTTCAGTTATTTTTGTAGAATATTGCAAGCGCGATGAAAAAAAAACTTTATATTTACAAATGTAAGTGTGTGTAAATAAGAGTGTGTGCACTTTTATCAAAATCAGTAATTGGCTTCTCGAATCGATTATGACGATTTATTTATTGTCAAAGTGCCAAGCTGTATAATAAAAAGCCTCAATTCAAATAATCACATATTGAATTTTACGAAACGCGATTTTCAAAATTTACAATTTGAAACAATTACAAGTGCACGTTACTGTTTTTTATTTGATTTTCATACAATTATGTATTTTTAAGTATTTTTTTCCTATTTTCTCACCCTTTATTTTGAGATTATATTTTTTTTTAATTTATATTGTTTTCCAAGTATTTTTTGAGTGTATTTTTTTTTTTAGTAATTCAATACTGTTATTTTATGTATTACAATTTTGATTAAGGGTAATTTTGTTTTATATTGCATAGATGAGAGTGTACAGCACGCTTTTATATGAGAGTTTCACAATTTAGTTTTTTAATTGTCGAGCAATTAAGGAAATTCAAAAACTTTTAATTTTTTTGAGAAAATCTTTATTGAATGGTTTTAATCGAATAAGAAATGTAAAAAAAAATTGTTGAAACTTTCTAATTAATTTTGACGTGTTTTTTGATTTTGAAGTAATAAAATTTTAAATATTTAATTAATTTGAAAATTGGTTTATATTTAAGTAGTATGTATTTTCATTTTTCGATGCGCCAAATTTGCTCTTCAATTGCGTTATATAAGAGTTGTTTATTTATTTCATTAATCATTATATTATTTTATTTATGTTATTATTGCTTTGTTAATTTATTTGTTTATTTTTTCGCATGATCATTGTGTATAGTTTTCATTGAGGTCACGCACGCCAAGCCTGAATGGATCTCTGTGCAGCCCTTACAGCAGCCTCAGTCGCAAGGTATGCCATTGTGCCTATTTTTTATTTAAGCAAAACTTGGAAAAAAAATCATCACCAGTTCACACTGCTTTCTTAGTTACAAAGTTTTGTCGATATATAGAGCGCTCGTTCGCTTCTTAGTTTTCATTTTGCGCAGCCTAGTCTTTGAATTAGTGAAAGCAATTAAAATCAAAACAAATTAAGTAGTAGTTTCAATATAATATAATTATTGTTATTGCATTTAGGGAATTCTTCTAAATGAAAGGTAAATTTGAATTTTTTTTTGTTAACTTCATTAATTCCTTCAGTACTATCCAGCGAGAACCGGAAGTCCTGGCTTGATACTGCGAGAATATGGACGCGGTGGTCCTGAAGACGTTTCTAGGATTTATACGTACTCGTACTTGACTGAAACTCCTAGTCAAGGATATTTGAGACGTCCAATACAACCCTATGATAAACCTCCCACGAGTCCTCATTTTCACCGACCAAGCTGTAAGTTTACCAAGCACTTGAATGTTTATAAATTTTATTTCTTTTAGTATTTTTGATGCACAATTTTCTATAGGTCGATTTAATTTGACAGACTTTACACATTTAAAATTTTAATTATTTTTAATCTATTTAAAGAGTTTTTCCTTAATTCACTTTTGATGACTGTCGTATAAAAGTAATAGAGAATGATAAAATAAATCTTAATGAATAGCTTCGCGTTCGATAAGAAGTAGCGGTGGACGAAGCAGTCGATCTGGAATGAGAGCATTAGTTGATGCACTTAGCGATACGAGACCAAAATCACCCGTGAGTCAAGTAGATAACGAAGAACCTATAGAATTGGCGCATTATCCTGATGCTATGAAACCATCGCCTGGCTCTCAGCCACCAATTGAAAGAGATGATTTCCCAGCACCACCATATCCTTACACTGATCCTGAGAGACGAAAACGATGGTCTGACACATATAAGGTATTTTTTTCTCGAAATTACTTTTTTTATCTAGGTATTTGTGAAACCTGACATTTAAATAAATATATTTGAATATTAAAGGGTGTACCTGAATCTGACGATGAAGATGAAATAGATCATAAAAGTTACATCAAGGAAGTGGAGCAAAAATTAAAAAAAGAGCATGATGAGTTGAGTAAAATTGACACGGGAATTGCAAAAGTCTTTTTACAAGATCGAGAGAAAGATCGGGAGAATCTTAGATATAAAGCAGCTAATGTTGATCCTAGAAATGCCTCGAGAACACCATCAGCTGCTCGTGAACCGACCTATCGATTACGATACGAAAGTCCTGTTGGTGCTTGTAAGTTTATTTTTTTTTAAATTCACATATTTTTATCTCTATTTTCTTTACATTTTTACGTCAAATTCATTAAAATTAAATTATATCCGACTTGGATTACTATATCTAAAATTAAGTGACTTTTTTCATGTTTTAATAAATAAAACTTTTTTATTTTTAGCACCATCGAGAAATATAGATCACGCTAGACCCTGGGAAGATGAAGACGGTCTTAGTTATAAATCAAGTGGGCCAAGTTACAATGGTAAGTTTCCATTAAAAGAAAAAAAAATCCAAATCAAATTGATGACTTTTTTTCATTTATAAACGTGTCATCTCATACATGTCCACACGTTCGCACATGACACTAACATTTCACTCTACTGATTATAATTCTGCCATCGGCTGTAAGCTCTCGAAGGATAGCGGGGTCTCTATGGGTTAAAAAAAGCACGTTATAAAAAAATAAAAAAAAATAAAAAAAACCCCAACCCTACTAAACGAAATTGGCTTTCTAGTGTTTGTCAAAAAAAATGTCAAACAAAAATGGGCAAAATCAAGTCGCGAATTGGAAAGAACCACATTCGTTAAGTAACGATTATTATAGCTGCTGTTCTTGACCAAAAAAAAGAAAGAAAAAAAATAAGAAAAGTAGCATCAATAAATCAGTCACTATGGAAGTTGGATAAGAACAGGTGACGTATCTGGCTTTTTGCATGATGCTCCTGTTATGGTACGTGTAATTTCTTTTCTTTTTGCTAAAGTCAATAACTTTAAGAAAGAAAAAAAAAGACATAACAGGACAATGTAACGATGAAAAAAATTGTATTCTCTGTTTCATTTAGCGACCAAAATGGTTGCCCTTAGACGCACCTTGCTATCTTTTTTGCATGTTGCACCAAAAATTTTACGTCACATTCATGACACATACACTTTTTTCAATTATTCCACTCCTATTTCTTTTCAATGTTGGAAGATATTTTTTTATATTTTTTCTTCTTGTTTGGTTTTTCAATTTTTTTTTTTTTTTTTTTTTTTTGTTTATATTATCATTTGTGATACTGAATTTTTTAACGTTTGAAAAAAGAATAAATACAATATTATCCAAAGATGTAATTTTTAGTTTTGAAAAATATTTCATTTAATTATTATAGAATTACAAGTTAGTGATAAATTTAAATTTTTTTGTTTTTTCAAACGTTGCAAAGTTTAGCTTCTTACAAATAGCATGATTTTCAAAGGAGTTTGTAAAAATTGTGTTTTAGATTTTGATTTCGAATCTTCCAACGTTGCATAAAAGTTATATATAAAAAACAATTGTTTTCTCTAAATGCAAAAAAAGCTACTTGTCATGTATCACCGTGTTTCTATTTTGTGTATTTGTGTTGTGATTGCGTGGGCATCAGCTGGGAGATCATCGACTCGTTCCCCGGCTCCCAGAAACTATCCAACTATTGGTTCACATCGCGCCTTCACTCTTCCGAATGCTACTAGAGATTATAATTCGGTGAGTTCACCAAAAACTCTCCAATTCGCCTGCCGTGGTGGAAAGCATTACAAAATTAGCATTTTGTCTTATTTCTTTATCTCAGTACGATATCCTCTAATTATTTTGAAAAAAATATTTGAAAATCAAAACAGTTTGCTTTGCCAACACGGAAGGTGATGTTCCTATTAGTTCTTTGGTGCTGGTAACATTGGATTTTTTTCTTATTTAATATGCTATTAATTACGCTATTTTTCATCCCTAGTATTACAGGACTGAGTTGTAATTCATTTTTTTTGCAATATTATTTTTTGAAGAATGTTAAATACATTTTCTTATTTCTTTGTTTAAATTCCAATAATTGATAAAAGATCCTTTTATTTTGAATTTTATAAATAGAACATTCTCACAATTATTTTTTGAACGAATTATAAATTGAATATAAACTTTATATTTTATATTATTCCTTTAAATTAAAAATATATTTTTAAAATGTTTATCTTTTTTTTGTAAATTCAATTATTTTATTATTTCAATTATATTAAGAATTTGTTAATAATAGAATTTAAGGAAATTTAATTTCAAAACATAAGAATTTTTTAAAATATTTTTAATTGTAGTACCTACCTAATTGGTAAATAATTGGATTATATTGTTAATGAAGAAATTAATTTTTGTATTTTTTTAATTTGAAAGAATAATATAAAACAAAACCACATTAATGTTTTTTCTTTTCAAATTTTCGTTAATACTAGTTTTATTGTTCCCATTATTATTATTATCAGTTTATTTTCAAATATTCCGCTTTTAATGTTTCCAAATATCTATTATGACTAATTTATTAATATATTTGTAATATTTATTTATAATTATAATCACTGTCATTAACATTGGAAAAATTGGGGCTAATAAGAATTTGAAAAATAATTAATAGCTAAGTAAAAAATTTGAAAAAATAAAAGTCTGCAGTAAAGAAATTCGTAGTTACAAATTTTTGAAAAACAAATGCATAAAATTAAATATTACGAAAAAAAAATTATCAATAAGGAAAATTTGAATACGAATTTATTTACATTCTTACAAAAATTTCAAAGAAAAAAAATTAGGATAGAAAAATAAATAATTTGGAAAATCTGGAAACTTACAATCTAAAGTTTACTAAAAATTCGAAAACATGGGAATTAATGATGAGAAAATATTACGAAACATAAAAATTAGATACTATAAATTAATTCGAAATTTAAACAATTAACCTAGAGGGAAACTTTAAAAACATGAAAATTAGTAACAAGGAAAAACAAATATTTGTTAAATATTCATTGGAAGATATTTAAAAATTAGATAGAGAATTCCATAGAATAAAAATTCTGGTAATTATTATTTATTTTGTAGTCCTCCATGAAATTGTTAAAATAAGCTCAGTCCTGTTTCCGTTTCTTCCAAAAATTGAAAAAAAATGACATGCTAAATCCCATAGTTATCTGGCAAGAATTGTGCGTTCAATGCTTCCAAATTGCAGCTTGAAAGCCCAGAAAAAGCACGTTCTGAGATCTATAATATTATAATAAATTTGTAAACTAGAAAAAAAATGCTCATAGAATAATGTTGAAATAGCAAGATAGTCGGCTTGCGTGTTTTTTTTCTTTTTTTTTTTTTTTTTTTTTGAAAGCAATTTGCGATTTTACAAGCAGAAGGGTGCGAACGGTGTCTCTGCGAACGTTGGGCATTACACGTATGGGAATGAAAAAAACGTGAGTTTTTTGCATTTGAAACTAATCAGTAATAATTGTCGATTGACATATTTGATGAAACCAGTTGTGAGCTCTCTTCGGCACATCCCAAAACCGGGATATGGTCTGGCACCGCGAAGTCACACCTTCTCTTCAACAGGCGGTTCAGTTTCTGCTCTCCCTGTAAGTCTTGCACCGCGCCTCAAGCGAAAATAATTGCACAAAAAAAATGCTCTTTTATTATATCTTATATCAATTAATATAATATTATTATTTTAAATGTCATTATTTAATAAATTTCATTATTTTTATCATTAAAAGACATATTTCTTTCATCTAGGGCGATTACTCATTCAGCGGGATGGGCGACAAGACGCACAGCACTGATTTCTCTTCTGGCAAGTCTGATAGTGAGTAAAAAAACACAAAAAAGCGAGGAAGTCGAATTTTTTTTTCGATACCTTGCTTTAAATTGCTTTTTTAAATCCAATTACGTACTAAATTCTCTCTCCCTCTCTCTCTTGCACTGCACGGGGCGTTTTGGAAGCCCTGATACAATAAAAGTAATTTTCCAAACAAAAAAAAAGACAACAACATGTTCTTTGTAAATCAAGAATATTGAGTCTATCAACAATTTTCTTGAGCATGCTTTACTAACTACGATGAGCTTTTTTATTTTCATTCTCCATCGAAATGTTCTTAATAATTATGTATAGTCCTTTTTTTTAAATCTGATATCAATTTATTAAGTTAAATTGTAGAAATAGATTTTAAAAGCAAATAGTTTACATGATTGGTTAAGCTAAAAATGAAAGGATTTTCAATTATTTAGCTTAACAAATCATTCGTTCTAAATGATAGATTATTATAGGTTTTTTTTATGGTAGGAATCAAGGATTTGCTTACGTGATTTTTTTCTTGAAAATTAATAATCTGAATTTTAACAGATATTTTAATTAACCCGAATTTTATAATTTATGTATATGTTAACTAATATTGTTGTCAAATTGAAAATAAACGTAGGCAATTCTTTGCAAGGTGTTTATATTTCGCTGGAAAAAAAACTTGATATTTCCAATTAATTTTTTTTTTTTTGACATTTTCCACAAACACATGTAAATAGAAGAAAATAGTCGAAAATCAGTTATTTCCAGATTTTATAACACCTTAGCAATTTTCTACTCTTGCTAATCGAATTATTCATTTTTTATTTTAAATTAAAAGAAAAGTTTTATTAACTTTTAAAAATATTCAATTTCAATTGTTGGTTGAAAAAAGCGTTCCTAGTTGAAGTTTCAAATGGAAAAATTTAGTTCAAATGAAACTTTAACAATTTAATTTTTTTTTATTTCAGCTGATCCTAAACTAAAAAAAATTGCAAATTTACTGAATTGTAGAATTTTTAAATATTCAGTTTGCTAAATTTAATTAATTAAAATTTCTTCTTTTAAAATTTAATTTAAAAACTTTTAAAACTTTCGTTTATAAATATAATTCACTACCTACAAGTAGCGATATTTATATTTTAATATTATACTTTAATTATTTTATATTTTTTTATTCGTAAATTATTATTTTAATTATATTGTAATTTTTTTTGTAATTATTTTGTAACAAAAAATTGCCCATTCAGTAGTCATTTTTGTGTTTAGTACTATTTTAAAATATTTCAAAATTTGTTTATGAAACAATTTATTAAATTTCTATTCATTTCAAATGAATTTGAATTTTGAGAAAAATATGCAAATTAAAGTTCACGGATAAAAGTTTTAACTTTTTTTATTACTTTTTTTTCTAATTTTGACTATTGGTTCGTATTTATACAAATTTTTAAATGAAAATTTTCAGCAATATTTTTAAAAATGACAAAATTTTGTTTGATAATAATTTTTCAGCTAAAAATCAGGCTTTAAATTTGAATTTTAAATCAATAATGTATTAGATTAAATAAAAAAAAACATTACTGAGTTTTAGAAATCAAGAACGTTATTCGCAATCACAGATACACGAGATTTTCTTTTGATACGAAACTTTTAACCAGGAATGTTTTCTTTTTTTTACTTGAAATTTCGAAATGCAGGGTAGAAAATAAATTTTTATAGTCTCTAGTTGTTAAAAAAAAATCTGGTTTGTGCAATACAGTTTTGACATGGTGTTTACCCGTTTTTCCTCCAAATTTAGTATCAACAGGCAGCATCACGGATGTGGACCGGCGGGCACTGGTATGTACCACAGCCCCGTACTACTCCCAGCGAATTAGCATGGTTTGTAGCTTTGCACTCGCATCCTTATTGCAATTTTGCTTGTATATTTGAAGAAAAAAAAAGTTCAATATTTTTTGTTTTTGTATCTTCAGTAAAAATAAGAATCAGTAATTCCATATGTAAATTGAACATTTATCATTTTAAATAAGTGAACTGTTTTATAAATTATAAATAATGTGTTTTCATATTTTTTATATAAAAAATAGACATTTTTTTTTGAGATTCGTAATTATTTTAAGAAATTTTTGTTTTTAGTTATTTAGGATAGAAATAGTTGAAATTCTACACGTCACTATAGGACGCATGTACAAATAGCTTTTTTATTATCACAAAAATAAAAGATTTTTATTACACTTATCATAGAATTCAATTGTGAATTATCAGTTTATGCGATTGTACATAGCACTGTAAATTTTTGCATGACGCTTACTGTTAATTCTTAAGAATATTGATTTTTTTTTTACATTAAAATTTTTTGTTTAATTCATGTCATGTATATTTTCTTTTCTTTTTAATTAATGTATTTGGAGTGAGGCATTTCACAGATTTGGCACTATAAAGTAACACCGACTGTTTTGCCATTTTGTTTTATTTTCTCAAATTTATATTTATAATATAATTTAATTTTCTTTACGTGACGATTATTTTGCAATTTACAATAAGAAAATATTTTTTACTTAATGCAAAATTTATATTGTGATAATTTATCGTGAAAAAATATTGAGAAAGTTTTTTTTTGCTTGATTGCGTTTTGCATATTTATTAATTAATGTTTTTAGTTACGTGGTTATATGTCACGAGGCAAGAATGAAAATCGTATATTTTTTTTATTAATTTCACATATATATATATATATTATATTTATTAAAGTTTCTTCTTCGTGTTTCGATGTTAAGAATAAGTGTCTTTATATTGGCGGAAAATTAATTGTTATTATTGATTTAGAATGACGGTGGAATCTTGCCATCATCAACCACCTACACAGGAGGATTAGGATCGGTAGTTGTGGGTCACAGTGGTCATCATGTGAGACGTTCTTTACCGGATATGGGTGCAGCACCTACCGAACCTCCAAAACTTTATCCTTATCACCTGCTCACGATCACAAATTATCGATTGCCCGCTGACGTTGATCGCTGCAATCTCGAGGTATGTCTTAATGTTACTATACTTGCGTTTGAAATTATTTTTTATTATTTATTTGACTAAAATAAATTCGGATTTTTATCTATCCGAAATTTTCATTTGTCTAAAAATTCAAACAAAATAAAAAAATTGGACTAAGAGTAATTTAAAACCCCCAAAATTATCAAAAGAAATTTTATTGCTTCCTCCTCTGTAGAGAAATTATTTTTACTTTTAAATAATAATTTTAATTATTTTATAAATTATCATAATTTGAAAAAATTCTCATAAATTTTGAGATAATAAATTGCAAAATAAATAAACTCCGAAGTTTTAGATAATTTCTTTTTTTAAAAAAAAAACATTTTTATACTTTTAGCGGCATTTATCTGACGTTGAATTTCAACATACACTACAATGCTCTCGTGCTGAATTCTACAGACTGCCACAATGGCGTCGCAACGAAATCAAAAGGCGTGCACGTTTATTCTAACTGCTTTTTTCGCAGTTGTTCTCGTTTTTTTTTTTTTTTTTTAATTACCAAAAGCGCCGTATCACCGTATCGGTACAGGGTAAACATTCCTTCAAAAGCAATTATTATTGTTTATCACTTAAAACATTATATTATTCATCGATTCACACTTGGCACGAAAACTTTTTATCACTGCATTGTTGCTAAAAAATTAAAGATGAAGAAAATAGCAAAACACAAAAAAAAGAAGGAAACCCCGTTCCGAATAATACTGCCGTTTAACATTTAAAAAAAAAATCGAGTCAAAAGTGTTGTCAATTTTAATATTGTTTTACTCCCTTTTTATAAATATTTATAAAAATTGAATAAAATTGCTGATAAACTTCAGCAAAGTATGTAGAATTTTTCTAATGAAACATATAGGAAAACTTTATCCTTTTATTAAGGAAAAAAAACGAAAATTAGCTTTTTCAGAATTTATTTAAATTTTCCTAAACAAGCACAAGTATCAAAGTGATGTTTAGATTAATGGAGACAAAAATATACATTGAAAACTATGTACATTTATATTAGAAATAAGTTTCTAATTGCCTAAAAAAAAATCCATATTAGTATATTATTATTATTATTATTAAAAAATAAAGGTAAAAATTTGTTTTACCTTGAGATTTTGGACAACGCAAAACCTTAAACTACGTCGAAGTTTTATTAACTTTGTAATATTATTGATTTGTACTTTAAAATAATGAGAGCAGAGTGTATTTTCTTCGTGGAAAGAAACGCTCATTTAGAAACTAGATCTCATCATCCAATTGAGTTTTGAGTTTTTAATTTTATGCAAAACTACCACGTGACTCGTTTTACAACTCAAGCGCTGATGATGTTTTTTTTTTGACAATGGCAGAAAAGGGGACGTGCTTGTTGCAATATATTATTGTAAATAAGAACAAAAATATCAAAAAGAAAATGAAAAAAGTAAAACCTATAAAAAAAATATCTATCAATTAAAGAGCAAAAACTCAACACTTAAACTTGCTTAGTTCAGTCACGAATATATTCATACTCCATGAGATGTTTATTACTTCGTTAAATTACAGATGAAAAAAAAGCAGAAAAAATAAAAAAAAAAACTACTACGATTTAAACATTTTAATAAACTATTATTGTATTATTATATTTTACTATAAGCGAAAATAGCAAGTACAATTTAAGTAGCTAGGAGCCGTATAGCTTTCTAAAATGAGAATAGTTTATATATATATATATTATACATAATTATTATATCTGTATGAAATTTATTATAATTGTACCATCATCAACGCGCGCAGTCAAATTTTCACTTTTTATCTCTGTTTTAAGATGCGAATTACATGGATTGTGCCCTTGTTTTTCTCTATGAACACTGCGCGATTTTTAATTAGAAAAAAAAAGCAATGACTTTAGATGCATGAAACAAAGAAATTGTTTTTAAAAATGAAAATAGTGTGGAGAGAAGGAAGAGAAAAAAAATAAATAAATGATAGAGAATAAAATAAAACAAATCGATTGATAACAAGAAAGAAAAAAATGATTTATATAAAATAAAAATCAATTTTTTGCGTGACAACTTAAACGCATGTTTAATTTTGATCGTACTTTTTTTTCTGCAAAACTTTCCAACGCTATTCATTGTTTTTTTTCCACCGTGCCTACGCGTAAATGTCTTCGGGCATTTAGAGAATTTTTTTTTTTTAATTTTGAAATTCTTTTCTCAAATTGTAAAACCTGATGAGAAATAGTGAAATGAAAAATATTGAATGTTTGAAAACTACTTCCGCTTTTCTGCTTAAACGGCTAAAGCATGCATTGTGTTTTGGGCTGAATTTCTGTGGTAGATGATAATAATAATCAAAGTAATTATATTTACGTGTAACATATTGTTGACAAAAAAAACAAGCTTTGAAAAATCTGATCACAGGTGTACGATACACGGTGCAACGTTTTAGCTTATCCCATTTAAAAAAAAAAAAAATTTACCTGTGTATTTTTCTGTTGTATAAAAAGCACATCGCTTCCGCTAGTCCCTATAAAATAAATGCAAACTACTAAGTAGTCAATTTAACATTGTCTGTAATTTATTTATATATATATATAAATTATATAGATTCGTTGAATTATTTCGACGCGTTAAATTATAATTTACTTGTAAATCCATTAATTAATTTAATTATTAATTAAGTTTGAAACTTAATCTAGAAAATTGTTTTGTATTTTAAGGAACTTTCTCGAGATAAATTGATTTATAAACTAGAAATATTTAGTTAATTTTTGTTTTTTTTTAAGATTTGTTGATTTTCTCGCGTAAAATAACAAAACCTTCCATAACACTTGAGAGGGGTTCGTAATCATCTGTTACCAGTTCGGCCCTTTCTCCGACAGAAATTAATACTGGAGTAGTATGAACATGACCACCAGAAATACATTTGGGATTCCCAACTTTACCAATTGTATCCACAGCTTGACCAACTCGAACTGACACAGGCAGAGTCTGAAATTATTTTTTTTTTTTTTATTAACAAAAATTTATTTACTGACAAAAGTTGAATATAGGCTATTTTTTATTCGTCTTTTTTAAAGAATTTTGTTATTTATACACAAAGTACCAATATAATTTTTACTTTATAAAACTTTTAAGAGTTAAAAAAAATTTTTCAATTTTAATGTTTTTTTTTAATCATAAAATAGTCAAAAGTTTGATTATCTTATAATTCAACATTTTTTTATAATTTGAAAATCTTACAAACATCATTTTGATATTTATAATATTTTAAAATTAAAAAAAATTAATTAATTTGAAATAATATTGATGAAAAATATATTAAAAGTAAAATTAGAGAATAAATTTGAAAATTGTACTTTTAAATCCTTGTCGAGAGTAACAATCCAACGGGGTTCAATTGCAGTAGCCAAACAATACAACAAATAATGCGATTTGCTTAAAATTAGATTTTTGCAGTCCAGAAAAGCAACGAAAACGACCATTAATCCAGCCAGTGCTGTGTAATCCAATACTTTAGAAGAAAATCTCAAAGGACATAGTGATAGTGTTCCCTGAAAGTTCAAAAAAATGTATGCTTGGTATTTATTTTAAAAATAACTTTTTTTTTTAAAGCAAAAAATATATTCTTTCAATTCTTTATTAAAAAAATTTGATAATGAAGAAAAAAGTAATGATTTTTTTATGTGTATTTCATAAATGATCTTGTAAATTATTTATTGTAATTTATCTCATAGAAATGATGTTATTAAGAAATATTTTTTTTCGATGATTTAATTTTAAAAGGGAATTAATTAAAAATTACTTTTCCAAGATGAATAAGTCCTTGGGATATGCGAACTAAAAATAAATGTGAAGAATTTTTTGCATGATAGGCAGCAAGTTGTCTTAACATTGTCGCTAATCGTGCATTATTTGTTCCAGCCCCAATGAGTCCTAGTCCAAAAATTGCATTTAATGACACTTCTGAATCATTATCGTGACTATATTTATTTAATACGTCGACTAATGCTGGATCGGGATTCGATATTGATGATAGAGCCAAAGCAAGTGGAACGGCCCTTCGTGCCTGTGGAGGACCATATCTTCCAACCTATTTCGATCAGAAGTATTCATTTTATTTCATTTCTTTTATTAATTCACATCTAATTTTTATTTATTCCAATTGCAATTTAACGTAATTCCTCAGCAATACAGAATTTGTATTCACAGTTCTTTTTAATAATTTGAAATTTTGTTTTATATTTTATCATTTTTAACAAATTTAATTGAATTTATAATTAAATAATTATTTTCAATTTTTTCGATAAGATAAAAATGACATGAAACGTCATATTCATTTAATTCATATATAATTTATTTCATCCTTCAGTTATTGGAGAAAGAAAAAGAATTTAAATTGAAATCTGAAATCGTCTTTACCTGTCCAAATATTCTTGAATTCTCTTTCCCCTCGGCTAGACCGACGACACCAACTCCAAGAGAAGCGATAGCTTGAGAAAGACCAATGAACCTGAAAATTAAATTTACTTTGATTTAATGTAAATTAGAGTTATTGCAAAAGTTGAAAAATTTTTACGAGGGAGAATCTTCTTTATTAGTTTCTGAGGAAGTTTTGCTTTTTGGCGAATTTTTATCGTTGTTATTTCCTTGAAAGTTGAAAATCGAAGGCAAAGCGGGTGGTTGACAGCAATTATCTGGTGGCACACTATTTGTCGATTTTGAAGAAATTTTATCACTGTCCACTGGTTCCGAACAGATTTGCAATAATTCTTGAACTATTAAAACGTCACCGGTACCAGCATATGAGCAAACCTGCAAAATTTTCCACAATAATCTTTTTTTGTGTATTTATTTAGAATTTTTAAAATATGATGCAAAATATTGTTTTTTTTTTAGAATTTTTAGAATAATTTTGAATTACTTGAAGCATTGTTTGGGAAGCTAATTTGTAAGGTTCTGGTAAAACTTCAAGAGCTGCCGAAAGTGTTTCAATAGCATCACGACGACCCATGTAAATTAATCCCAAGGCGAGTGGAAGAAATCTGATAAATTTTACATACATAAAATTTTAATAGTACAATATTTATGAATTTTTATTTTTTTTTTTTTTCAATAACAAACCTGGAGTATGTATCTGATAATTCCTGAGGTGTGGACTCCAAGAGTTTTTGAAGAATTGTCGAAGACGCTTCGGAATTAGTTGAGCCAACATTTATTAGACCCAATGAAATAGCAGCAAGTGACACAATTTCCCTGGAGCCTTTATAACACGTTTTCAATTTAAAGTTTTAATTTCGATAATTCAAATAACACTTTTATTTGATTATTATTTTATTTCTGGAGTATTTCAGGAATATTTTTGAAAAATGCTCCAGAAATATTCAAAACTCCTAAATTTGAATTATTTTTTTTTGTGAATATTCTTATAAAATCTTCTATGAAAATGATTAAAATTTACTCTATTTTGTTATTCTTTTTTTTCTATTAATTAAAAAAAAATCTTTTTTAGACATCAAAAATTAATTAAAAATTACTTTGTCTGTCCAATAATACATTGATCATTAATTGTGAGACGTCATTTCTTTGAGTGCCAGCGTAAGCCATACCAAGACCCAAAACAGCACCAATTCTTAATTTTTGATTTTGATCCATTACGTATTCATTGAGAAGTGCCAAGGCTGGATCACATTCATTGCGAACGCCACAATTCACTATACCAATTGCCAATAGAGCTCCAGATTTGATAAAATCTTCATTTGAATAAAGATACCTGAGTGTGAAATAAATTATCATTAAAATTCCATTTTTTTCATTTAATTATTTACATTCGCCTAATAATTAGTTACAAATTAACTTGTCGATTGGTACAAGTCCTCCGTCCACGTCCCACATGTGAATTAGGCCCAATGAAGCAGTCGCTGACAGCATCCCATGTTCCTTATTTTGAAAAAATATATTAATTGAAAAATAATTTATTTTTTATTTATAAAAAATTTTTTTTTTTTTTACTAAAGTCTGAAATATAATTTAAGATAGAAATTTTATTTAAATTCTAATGCCAAAAATACTAATTTTGGTATTATAATTGTTTAATCAAAATATTGATTATGGAAAATTTTCAACAGATGTGCATTTCAATGGTGCTCTTCTCTAAAATCATTGCAAGTGGTTATAAAGCCCGACTATTTTGGAGTCATAAAATATATTTTATATAATATCTACAAAATTATGAATAATTTTGGGTTTGTCATTTATGGATATATCACAAGGTTTATGATTTTAGTAATTATAAAACTTTAAACCATTTTTAGAGATTTCACATATTCGTTAAAAAAATATTTTTAAAATTAATTTCTAAAAACGACTGTTAAAAAATATGTAATATAAAATTATAAAATAATTGTCATGTGAATTATTATTGTTTTTAAATAATATACCTTGTTTTTGTAAACCCAAGATTCCTCTGGATCCGACATTAATTTATCAACTCCAAATCCAGTATGTACAAAACCGGAAGCAAAACTAGCAGCCAAATTTGCTCTAGCTGAATCGTGTTCTATTCGTTTTAAAATTCCTGTTTGTTCCAACCAAGATTTATAAATTTCCTCTGGTAATTTAGGTTCTAAAATATCTAATTCTCGGGCTAGCATTTGAAAATGTTCATTCACATGTACATTGCTTATTATTGTCTCAATATCATTTGCTTCTTCACCCTTGTAATCTTTTCTCAATGGCTTATCCTATAGAAAAAAAGATAATTCATATAACAATTATTCATTTTTAAAAAAATAATGAAAAATAAATTTTTTAAATAATTTTATTTTTTTTATTATTATACCTGCTGTCTGGCCACTAAGAATGCTAATTGCTTTTTCATTAATGAATCAGGACAGATTGTAAAACACTCGGAAACTAAATCATAATCTTGAAGTTGCATGGCTATTAAAATTGCCTTACAATAATCGCCAAATTTTAAATAATTATTTGCCACTGATTGCAAAATTTTTTGTCGATCGAATTCTTCGCTGCAATATTTATATAGGGATTTTGAAAATTATTAATAGAAAAAATTAGATGTATAAAAATAAATAAATAAATTCCAAATAAAACAAAATTTATAAATTTTTTAATTATTTTACCTTTTTTTAATAATTTAAAAATAATTTAATCGTCAATGTACAAGATTTACTATTTCTTAATTAATTTATTTAATTATTCATCTTTATAATTTTGTTTACTGTAGAATAATATTTTAACATCGTTAATTCAAGATAAAGTAATTATACAAATATAACAAAAAAAAAAAAAAAATTACCTGTAAGCAGCACAACTTGCGAGATAATTACAAACTCTTAAATAATTTGTCGAATCCAAATGTTTATCTAATAATTCTATTTGATCTATCTCTAAACTGAGATCACATGCTTGAATTTCAGCATTATCCTTCATATCAAATTTTATTATATTCTTTATCAATGACATTAACTGTTTTCTAAATAAAAAAAGATAAATTTTTAATTTTTATATTTGATTTTGATTTAATTAATTACTTTTGAAATTAAAATTTTTATTTTTATTTGTAAACGAAAGGAATTTCATCAAACTAAATTAATTTATTGATGTATTAAATTTGTTTCGTTTACTTAATTATATGTTCGTGTTCAATTGGCATATTCGACCATTCATCAATAATTTCCAATTCCAATCGTCGAATGTATTCATGACCCCAATCACCAGGATCAATCATTGTTCCTTGGAGACAAAAATTGAGACATTCCCTTGAACTGTAAGTGGCACCTGCCAATGCTAAAACACTGAGAATATCAGCAAATTGGACTTTAACTTCTTTTGTTTTAATTTTCCCATAAATTCTTTTCAAAAGATCATAAGAGTTTCTTAAGTATTTCAAAGGCTTTGGAACTGATGTCATTGACGTTGTCGAAGTTTGCATCAATTTTTTCAATTGTATCAACGATGTCATTAATTCATTTTCACTATTGTTCTTAAATCGAGAATTAACAAAAAAAAATTTGTTTTATTTTTTTCATTTTAAATCATTAATTTTTTTTAATACTCACTGATAAATCTTCAACTATCTGCAGAAGATCTTCTTCCAAACATGTATCGTCTTCATTCTGGTAATTAATTAAATTTTTATTAAGTTTATCTAATTAATTAATTAAATTTATTAGTGAAAATTATATAACTTGTTTTGTTATTAGAGACAAATTGGTTAATTTTTAAAAATTGTTCACATTTTAGCTTTAATGTATTTTATTTCAATTCAACAATAAATTAATTATAATTAGTTTCTTACTTTATGAATTTCCGTCTCTGGTTTAGATTTGTTAACAGTTTGAGACATTTTCGTCAATTAGGTAATTAAATTCGTTATCTAACAAGATTCTGCTTGTAAAATAAATGGAAATAACGTGAAGTTGAATAAAGTGAAAAAAAAACATTTTTCGAAACAAGTGACAATCAGAAAATTACTCCATGTAAGCTTCCACAAAAAAATAATAATACATATTTTCAAATTTTTTATTCTTTATTTTTTTCAACATTAATATTTTTATTCAACAATTTCTTAAAGTATCATAAAATATTTATCCTTAACAATATTTACATTTTTTTTATCAAGTGTACAAAAATTGATTATTTCTATTGATAACAAATATACAATAAAACTTCTTTATAATCCGTCGATTTGAGTCGGTCAACAAAATTGAAATCCATATTGCAATCATAAAATATATTTTCTTTGATGGTTATATATAAATAAAAAAAAAAATCGTACAATCGTAAAATATATATGATTGGAGTGATAAAGAGCTTAAATTATGATTTTGATTCGAACAAGTGATTTGAAATATGTAATATCTTTATAAACATAAAATTATACTGCGACATCGAGTCGTTTATAGATATGAAAATAGCCAAAGTTAAATCGTATTTTAAATTTAAAAAATTCTAATATTGCAAATAACAAATTCAACTTGTTCCATCTTTTTCTATTTAATTATTATATAAATAATAATTATATACAAATTATAATACTACATTTAATTATAATCGGAGTTGCTCGATAAATGGAGCCCATTGATCATAATAGGTATGTCTAAGCGCTTTGTCTATTACGACTATTATCAATAATTACGCATCTCTTGTCTTCCTGAAGAAAGCGTATTCATAAAGATGTGACATTTTTTTATTTAACAATAATAAATTATTTCACTTTAGTTCTCGATATCAGTCTTTTTCATATATTCCTTTATTGTTATATTAGTAACTTCTTATTTTCTTGAGGTACTGCAGATATTATTAAAAATTATTGGTCGTGAGAAAACAATTAAGCAGAAACGATACCTGTTTTTAATTGATAATTTTAATGACAATTTAAAATTACGTTCGTTTTTATTCAAGTTATCTTTTGACTTTGCAATTTTCCATTAATTTAATTTTCTGTTTTTGAATGAAAAAATTTCTTCAAATTCAAAAATTAAATTATAAATTTATTTCTATAAATATAAAACAATTAATTAATAGTATTTAATAATAATTATTATTAATATCACATAAAATTTGCAGAAGCCTCTTTTTTTTGGAAATTAATTTTTCTAAATTTATAAAAACGTATCTGCTTAAAATAAATATTCAGAAAAATATTTTTTAATAAGTTTTTCAGATGAACACTCTGTAAAATGGTGAATTATTCAGTTAAAAATCACCAGGATTGTATTTTTATTTTAAAAACTTCGTTTTGTGAATTTTTTTTACTGGACATTGTTTTTATATAATAAAAAAATAGTAGAAACTTTGTTGCAACAAAATATGATGCAAAATACTATAGTTTATCAAAACGAGTCAAAGTTTATAATGAAAATTATTTTGCATTCTATAAAATAACGCAAAATTTCATATCGCATTGACTCGCAGTCAGCGCTTTTTTTATTCTAATCTTAAATTACCTAATGTACCCGCAGAAATGCATAAATGGTACAAAAACATTATATATTTTTATGAAAAGTTTAAAAAATTAGACTCGAATTTTTCAAACAGAAAATAAAATTAAAATCGAAATAAAAAAAAAAAAAAAAAAAAAAAAAAAAAATGGTAGAAAAAAGAAAAATTTTAAATTTTTAATGTAAAATTTTTACCCTAAAAATCTTATAATTTAGAGGAAGTTCCACTCTCAAGATTAGGAACAGCGGGCCTAATTCCATTTAATTCGTCTTGAATTTCTTGAAGTGATTTTCCCTTAGTTTCGGGTAAAATTAAAACCGTGAAAAATACGGCTATCACACAACATGCACTGAATATCCAAAAAGCAGTGTGTGAGCCAAATAAAGTTTCAATGTTACTGAAGAATTTTGTGAGAATGAATGCAAGACCCCAGCATACGAAAACTGTTATCCCGGATGCTTTTGCCTTGACGTCGGATGCAAACATTTCACCCATGACCGCCCATGGTAGTGGTCCCCAGCCAATACTGTAAAGGGAAATGTAAATCACCAAGGAAACTACCGGTAACCATGAAATACTCTCGACATCGGCGTGTTGCACGTTCTTTAGGAAGAAAAACAATCCCAATGCACCCTGAAACAAGAATTTAAAATGTTTTAATTAGTTCACCAAGTCTTTCTTTTGTTTCGTAAAATGTGACTTTTCATTTTATGTTAAAATAAACATAAAATTAACAATATTGTAAATATATAAATTTATTGTTTTTTAAGATTTTATAAAAAATGAAATCACTTGTGCGTGAATATTTTATTTACCAAAAAAAATTAATTATTGTATTTTGTTTATTTGATCTAAAATAAATTTTCTTTTGCTTATAAGCAAAATTATTTTCTTGTACACAATAAATTTTTTTAATAATATGAAAAAAAATTTTGTAAGAGCAATTATTATTTTCAATGTCATATTTTTTCGTTATAATTAAACATTTGTCTTTAGTGAAATATTGTTTTTTTTTTAAATAATACTGTTTCAAGTGAAGTAATTGTTATTAATAAATGTTATTTAAATGATTTTCCGTTAACGAATTGTTAATAAGAGAATAAATTTATATCGTCGCAGGCGCATGAGTCACGTTTTTTACTCGAGCGTAAAATATTCTTGTAACAGGTCGATGTAACAATGATTGACGGAAGTTCTTCTCAAGGATCAAGATCAAAGTTAATGAGTCTCACCGAATTACAATGTGCGATAACAATTTATTTTATCATCGCATTCTAAACATTCCACAAACATTACTTCATTCGTAATTTTTTTTTTTCAAAATTAATCTACCAAAGATTGTAAACATAAAACTTGTGCCAACATTTTTGTTTTTACACAATTTCGTATAATAGCACGTGGAATATTCCATTATAAAATATTTTATTCATATTTTTAAGGAATATTTTAATATCACACGTTTGGACTATTTTTTAATATTGCACATGAATAACTCATTGAAATATTTTTAAAGTTCTTTTTGTGGTATATCATAAAAATATATAGTAAATAAAAAACTATAAATTTTTTAAATGAAAAGTAATAACGAATTGTATATTGATAAGAATGCGGTTCTGCTAATTACACATAGTTCATTTTTTTAACAGTATTATTTGAAATTTACGATTCTACACAATCACAATGAAAATTGCAAAATGTATCGGTGTTATGTATTTTCATACGTAATATCGTCAATGGTATTACATAAATCGAGCATTCATAAAAGTATGTGGTTTTAATTAATATGCTTGGGAATCTCGGAAATTCCATTCTAAATAAGTCCAAAGAAATATTTACAAAAACGATACCTGACTTGCAAAATAAAGTGCATTTGCACTTATTTTAAACTCGCGTCTTCTCAGCTTTAAACAAAAATTGTATTTTATTTTTTATTTTAAGTAGAAATTACAATTAAATTATTTTTGTATTGAATGACATTTAATTCAGAATTTTTTTTTTTTTAATCCTAAAACTACCTATATTTTTAAAGTAAAAAAAAGTAGATACAGCTTTAATACTCAAGATTTGCAGGATTAAAGTAAAATGATTCATTTCAAAAATTGTAATAAAAAAGTTGAAATTATTTTTAGAAACAATTTTTTTTTCTGTAAATTAAATTTTTCAATGATCATTCTGAAAATACACGTTTTATGAGTATCAGTAACTTAATTTTTTTTTTTCCTATCAGTTTAACTGAATTTTCATATGAATAATGAACAACAAGGCCTCCTTGAATTTATATTATGAAGACATTGTATACAATAATAATAAGGAATATGACCCTCGCCTAATTTCTCAATTATTATTTCTAGACGTGTGCAATATAATAAAATTAATTTGAATTTTAAATAAATACAACAATTATTAATTTTTATTTTCATCATTGAACTTACCAAGGTGACTGCAGTTCCAACACCGGAAATAACTAAAAGAATTCTTCGTCCGAGTCGTTCAATGACGAGTGGTGTCACCATAGACGCCAATACTTGAACAACACCAATGATGATTGTCGACAGTGATGTACTAAGTGCAGTACCCGTACTTTTGAAAATACTCTCGGCATAAATCAAAACAACATTTATTCCCGTGAGTTGTTGAAAACTCACCAATGCACAGGTGAATAACAGAGCTTTAAAATTCGCCTTCACTTTGAATAAATCCGAGAGGGTTGTCTGTGTTCTAAATGCAGCATCCACTGTAGCCTATATAAGAAATTTAAAAGAATTATTATTTTATCAATTTTATAATAATTCATTAAAATATTTTATTTATTATTAATAATTTTTTATTCAGAAATTGATTTTAATTATTTAAAATATTGTTGCAGCGATTTGTAGAATAATCGAATTTTCTTATTTTGGTTTTAATTTTCTATACGTCATCAATTTGTATGACGTAAGTGATATATGGTTCGTTAGCCTTTGAGAAAAGCCTTCCGCATATAGTATGAGTGTACGTGATTGGCATATGTATATATATAGTAAAGTAAAATTATCGGATATATTTAATTAAATACGAACCTGCATCTCATCAGCTTCCTTTTGTACACTGGTTGTACTTTTTCCTCGTAATCTGGCCAGTGATTTTATGGCCTCGTCTTTTTGTCCTTTTCCCAAAAGATAATAAGGAGATTCAGGCATAAAAATAAAGGAAATGAAAAAGATTATTGGCAATGAACCACATGCCATCCAAAGAACCATGTACGACACGTATGGTCCAATTGCATAGGAAAATAATAAACCAATTGTTATAAACAATTGCAGAAAGGATCCTAATGAACCTCTTATTGACGTCTGTAAAAAGGAAAAAAGATTTCAAAATTAATTTCTAATTTTTTAATTATTTTTTAAATCTTTTTATTGTATTTAATTTAGAAATTTTTAAATCAATTTTCTTAATCTAAGTGAAATTTGAAAAAAAAAATTTACCAATCAAAATGGTTTTCTTGTCAAGACTTACTTCTGCGATTTCACCGATATACATGGGAAGAATAGTAAAGGGAATTGCGAGGGCAAAACCAAAAACTAATCTAGCAGCATATAATTGATATATACTTCTTGCACTTGCTATCATTATCCAACCAATTAAAAATGGTACCGTGCTGAACAAAAGACCTTTTTTTCGGCCAATTCTAGAAAAAAAATTAAAATCATTTAGATTTTTGAAAAAAAAAAAATAAATAAAATGTGTGTTAAGAAAATGAAGATTTCAAAAAAATGTTAATTTACTTTTCTACTAAAATTCCTGCCGCAAAGCAGCCGAAAATTGCTCCCATCGGTACCAACGATCCAATCCAGGAAGCTTCTTCCTTTGAAATTGGATATTGTAAAGGATTGTCAGGATTCACGGGATTATTTTCTGTTAATCGAGGAAGAATTGGACTTGTCCATCCCAGCATTGCTCCTGTTGCGACAATACATAGGTTACCTGGAAAATATATAATCAATTCGAAAATATTAGAAAAGTTCATAAACGAATTTCATTTTATGAAATTTATTTTTAATTTTGCATTGGAAATGTTCTTCAGCACCAGTGAAGAATTATAAAAAGAGAAAGAGAAGAAATAATTATTAAAAGATTAACACACTGTTACTAATAATAATGATATAAAATACAGAAAGAAATTATTTTATAAACTCTCATAAAATGCTAATTTTTTTGTTTGTTTATTTGTTTTTATGTTTGTTTAGTCACGTGCATGACAGATGGCAGTACCAACAAAAAAAAAACCAAACTTAACCTTAATTTAGTGACGCAATTCAAACTTCAAGGTTCAAACCGTTAAAACTTCTCACAATAAGTTTATATTATACTATTTTTATTTATTAAATATTGTACTTTATATATTTCTTGCTGTGTGTAAGCATTGCTTTTGATAAAAAATATTTTCAAGATGGTACACATTTATAATGAGCAATATTTATATATACACTACTTTTGAAGAAATGTATACATAAAATGGAAAAAAGCAAATTCCCATATTTCAAAAATATATATGGAAATGATCAATTTCGAAAGGAAATTTTAGTTCGGATATATTTGGAGCCAATTCGAAATGAAAATTAAATTTCCTCGAGGGCATGGAATATCACGTCTATTTCGAAATTGACGTACTCAGAGATCAATATACAGGGACGAAGAATATTAGATTTCATTAATAAGGTAACGAGAGTAATTATGGTCAAGTTTTCGAAACTATAAATACGGAGGACAATGGGGTAAATATAACGTGGCACTTAATTTTCAATATACAGCTTCAAAAGAGCACTTATGTCGTCAAATAGTTTGCTGATGATGCATATATGGTCGTTGTAATACATTAGTTTTCTATTTGACGAGAAAATTATTTTTATCTTATATTTTAATTACCTTGAATTCAATTTTTTTTCTAAATATATTTTTAAAAAAGAACAAATTTTTCTGTTATTTAATATGGAGTATTATTTTCAAAAATTCTGCAAACAAAACAAACCTTTATGAAATTCCTCTTATATATTAAAAATGAAGATGACCTCAATGATTGTTATTTTAATCGAAAAGACCGCAATTATCACACAAAGATAGAGTTTATATTTATCATATATATTATTTATATGAAGCTTGTCATTTACATCAAGAGAAAAAATATTTTTGTCTCAAAGCTGAAGAAATATGTATTTATTTCAAATAAATTTTGTATATATGTATAGTTTTTTTTTTAGCTCAGAGACAAATATATTGTTATTTAATTCAAATAAATTATAAATGGTTTGAATAAAAAAAAAAAATTGTCTGATCGTATGCTAAAAAATACTTATATTTTTATGACAATTATTAAAATAGACATATAGGAAATTAAAACTTTCTTTTATATAGAAAAGTCTAAAAACTTGTAACAAGAATTTAACCTGTTTTGAATTATTTACATTCTTCAATAATTGATATTGAAAACCTGTTTGAAATCTACTTGTTCCTTCGGAAAATCATTATTTTTTCCGTAAATGTCAACTTTTGGTTTTTTTCCACATTAAAAAGATAGAACACATTACAATATGAATTTTATTATAAATTCAAATTTTATTATGCAAAATTATTTTTTGTTTTTTTTTACTCTCGATACATTAGATGTATTTAGATATGTATTTCTCAGTTTCCTGTTCCTTATTGTTTTTTTTTTTTTATATAAATTACAATTTTATTGGGAATACTTTGTTAAGAGGATAAAAAATGGAATATCGGAAAAGGATTATATATACTTCCTGGCTTATATTTTTATTATTTATCCATCAATCAGTAGAGAAAAAATTTATCCTTTATTGTTAGAAATATGCTTTATGTTTTTTTGTGCCACATATTATTGTAATATTTATTTATAATAATACTTGTCTCAAAGAAATATAACGGATTTATGTAGTTCGAGGAGAGATGCTTATACAATTATAATGATTTATTTAGAAATATTAAAATTTCCATTAAATTTCTAGACCGTAACGTAATAATTTTCCATTATGCCAATGTTATATGAAAGAAAAACCATTACCGTTATTAGGTTCTTCTTTTCATTTATTATATCTACAATATCATAAAAATTGTAATTATATTTATTAAAATCATTTTTATTTAGTTATGCATAATTCTTCTTTTCTGATAAAAAAAAATTGTATTTGAGTGATAAAAATCTTCGTCGAGAAATGATTAAATAATTAAAATAGTCAACAACAAATTATAATTAATATCAACAGATCAATGAGGAGAAATCGCAATGTTATGTAAGAATCGCAAATCCAGCGACAATCGATGGACTATAAAAAAAAGGTTCCCTCTCGTCATTAAAATCGTATTCTATTCACACATCATAAATTTGAAGATTAAAAATCTTTTATTAAAACCGGAAAACGCTCGTGAATATTCCAACACAATTCAAAAATTATCTCTATAAATGTGTTCCTGTCAAAAAAGGATGTATAGTCTAAATTTCCAACATTCAAGCAATAATTATACAAGCAGAGAATTTTAATTAATCAAAACAATTTGTTTAAATAAAAAAATTTAATTCTACACCTTTTTTCAAAATTTAAATATTTTTATTTTTTTTTAATTTTTTAGTATTTATAGCGTAATTTATTTTTTTGAGAATATAATACAATTGTTTCTTGTCTAGATAAAAATTTATTTAATAAATTATAATCAAAATTGATGTTGGTTTATTTTTTCGGCGTTTATTTATTGTCTAGTGAATATTATTTTTTTTTTTCTTCGAAAATAATATTTCAAACGTTAGGAAATGTCATTTGAATTAAGGACAAAAAAAATAATTTTTAAATTACAATTATATGAATGAGGTTTGTTTTTGTAAAATGGTGACATATTGCGACTCATTTGCACCTGTATTATCAAAGAAGGAAGTCAAATAATAATTATGAAGGATGCGGAGGTGCGCAATTTTTCTTTTTTTTTTTTTTTTTGAATAATTTGATTTTTATAAAATTTTACATAATTATATTCAAATCCTGTAACTTGAAATGAACTTCCTTTTAATTAAAAAAAAATTTCCAACTGACATTTTAATTTCCGTTTTGTTGATAAATGCTAAAAAAAATCGCAAAACGTGGCATAGAATTAAAAAAAAATTTATCGATGCAAATATTATTACATTTACATAAAAATAATTTTTTACTGCAAATATTTTAACATTTATATTATGAAATAAAGTAGTTAAAATGAGAAATTTTGATTTTTGAGAAGTCATTGTCAAATTTAATGACGTAACGCAAAAATATGCACAAAGTACGTCTATGTATGTTACACTCTTGTATTTATCTTATGTTCAGGATGCAAACAATTTTGTTTTATATTCGTATAATTTTCATTGTCGTTTTCAACAAGAATACTGCAAATTTTTTTTTTTTACGAACTTACTTCTATCGCTACATTATTGATATACTGTCGTAAAACATGCAAGGTCACCAGTTTTTCTTTAAGTTTTAAAAAGTCAATGAAACAAATAATTAAAAATGTCACTGTCAAGTTTTGTTTTGTTTTTTTCAGAATATATTTTAACAAAAGGAAATTTTTAAAATTATTTTTTTGAGAAATATTATAAAATATTATTTTTTTTATATACAGAAAGCGAAAATTATTATTTAAAGGTAAAAAAAATAAATACCTATATTTTACAACAAAAAATATTTTACAGTTTAGAAAATAGAAATGGTGAAAATTTATATAGAATTTATATAAAATATTCTTTATTTGAGAAAAAATTCTATAAAATAGAATTAAAAATTTTTGTCAAATAAAAAAGTAAAATTAATTAATTAGGGTCAGTTGGGGTAAATGGGGACAAAATCGCTATTTTTCACAAATTATATTATTTTCTTACTTTAAAAGGTAATATTTGCGGGTTTATATTTTTTTAAGTTGTTATTTACATTTCCAGAATTAATTTTATGCAGCAGAAAAAAATTTAGATAAGCTTTAAACGCATGAAACTGACTGTCCCCATTTACCCTAAAATTTGGAAAATTTCATAAAATTCGGGGTAAATGGGGACAGCTTGTCATTATTAACCAAATTGGTATGATTTTTAAGTCTGTTTTCTTTAAAATGCTCGACAAAATACTGAAACAGTTTGACTTTGATTTTCAAGTTTTTATGCATTGAGCGATAACTTTTTTTATCTTGCTGCCAATTGTCAAGATAAAAGCTTGGCAATACTCAAAACCTTTTGCAGGTGATCTGAGGTTAAAATATTGACGTTGAATTTAATTTTAAAACTGTAAATTAAGCTCCAAAACCTCTTGTCTCCATTTACCCCAACTGACCCTAATTTAAAATTTGTTAAACATTCTTTTCGAAATCTTATATCATTTATTTGCAGAATAGATGTAAAGGAACTGAGTGATGGAAAAAAGTATTAATATATGATTTGTTTTATTTAGATTACAAGTAGAACCGTATATTCTGAATCTCGTTTTCTATAATCACAGGTCACACGATAACTTAGTTCTCTCAGATTATATTAAAATTATTTTTTTAGTTATTGGAAATTTTCTGAAATCACTACTAATCGAAAAATGTGCCATTGAACTTGTTGAGATAATTTAAAAACGCGATTGAGAAACCAGGAGAAAAGTGTAAATTATCAATAATTCTATATTAATAATAATTGCTAATATTCCTTCTCTCTCTCACTCATTGTGTGAAAACTTAACTTTTTATATTAGAAAAATACTGAGAAAATATCGTTAGCATTGTTTTAATTACAAATAATTACAGATCATTTCGCAAACAATTAAATTCCAATTTATATATCATTCTTTTATTTATAATTTTTTTACCCATCTTCTCAGAACAATTATAAATTATTCTTTATTTTATACTTCTCCAAGGGATTTTTTTTCTAAATTAATTTTATAATATAATAACTAGACTATAATATATACTAG